GTGACCTGCAAACAAATGTGGATAGGGAAATCACTTCAAAATAACATAAAATAAGCAGCCTCTTAGTAGATAACACCCTAATTCCCATTGTATTAGGGAGCTATCTACCAAAAGGCTGAAAGACCTAAATTGGTCACTTAAATTGATCTTTCAACCACATTTACTAAAGATTACTTAGTATTAGTAAATTAAGCCCCTACTAGCTATAGTCACTTGGGGGGATTTTTATTTATGGCCCCCACCCGCCGCGCAGGGGTGGAGGCCGGGGGGGGAGGACATTAGGTGTGTCCCCCATTTTTATTTATGTCCCCCACCCACCGCGCAGGGGTGGGGGCCGGGGGGGAGGACATTAGGTGTCCCCCCCCCATTTTCATTTATGGCCCGCACTGCTCCGGGTGGGGGCCGGGGGAGGAGGACAGTAGGTCCCCCCCTTATTGTTATTTAGGGCCCCCAACTGCAGTGCAGGGGTGGGTCCAGGGGGGGGGACATTAGGTCCCCCCCCAATTTTTATTTATGGCCCTCACCCACTGCTCAGGGGTGGGGGCCGGGGGAGGACAATAGGTCCACCCCTATTGTAATTTAGGGCCCCCACCCACTGCTCAGGGGTAGGGGCCATGGGGGGGAGGACAGTAGGTCCCCCCCATTATTGTTATTTAGGACCCCCACCCGCCGTGCAGGGGTGGGGGCCGGGGGGAGGACATTAGGTCCTCCCCCAAATTTTTATTTATGGCCCCCACCCACCGCTCAGGGGGTAGGGTCCAGGTGGGGAAGACAGTAGTCCCCACCCCCACTTATTCTTATTTAGGGGACCTGCCGTGCAGGGGTGGGGGCCAGGAGGGAGGACATTAGGTCCCCACCCAATTTTTATTTCTGACCCCCACTCACCGCTCAGGATTGGGGGCCTGGGGGGAGGACATTAGGTCCTCCCCTATTGTTATTTAGGGCCCCACCCACCGCTCAGGGGTGGGGGCCGGGGAGGGTGGCAATAGGCAAATGTTTAATAGACATGCCCCTACTCATGGTAGGTTGATAATTTACTAATACTAAGTGACCAGCTTCTATAGAGGCTGGGTCACTTGCTGGACTGGCCAATCACAGCCATGCCATTAGTAGGCATGGCTGTGATGGCTTCTAAGGGCACACGAGTCAAACGCATGTTGATTGGCTGCCATGAAGCCTTTCAAAACGCGTCATTAAATCGCTGAACACCGAACTCCAACCCGAACATACAGTGATATGTCCGTGTTCGGGTCCGGGGTACAAAAAACGTAATGTTTGGTACGAACCCGAACTTTTCAGTTCGGGTTCACTCAACTCTACTTGTCACCAGTGGGGTACCTCAGGGATCTGTACTTGGACCCATTCTCTTTAATGTTTTTATTAGTGATATTGCAGAAGGTCTTGATGGTAAGGTAAGTCTTTTTTGCTGATGATATTAAGATATGTAATAGGGTTGATGTTCCAGGAGGGATAAGTCAAATGGCAAATGATTTAGGTAAACTAGGAAAACGGTCAGAGTTGTGGCAACTGACATATAATGTGGATAAGTGCAAGATAATGCATCTTGGACGTAAAAACCCAAAGCCAGAGTATAGAATATTTGATAGTCCTAACCTCAACTTCTGAGGCAAGGGATTTAGGGGTGATTATTTCTGATGACTTAAAGGTAGGCAGACAATGTAATAGAGCAGCAGGAAATGCTAGCAGAATGCGTGGTTGTATAGGGAGAGGTATTAGCAGTAGAAAGAGGGAAGTGTTCATGCCATTGTATAGAACACTGGTGAGACCGAGTATTGTATGCAGTACTGGAGACCGTATCTCCAGAAGGATCTTGATAGTTTAGAGAGAGTTCAGAGAAGGGCTACTAAACTGGTTCATGGATTGCAGGATAAAATTTACAAGGAAATGTTAAGGGAACTTAACATATATAGCTTGGAGGAAAGACGAGACAGGGGGGATATGATAGAAACATTTGAATACATAAAGGGAATCAACACAGTAAAGCAGGAGACTATATTTAACCCCTTAATGATGATCGTCACTCAGGGGAGAGCCTTAACGACGAGTGACGGACCAGATCCATCACGCGTTGAAATTAACCCCAGATCGCCGCTATCGCGGAGTTCACAGTGCTCCGGTCTGCCTCTGTATTAGACTAACATCCCTCCAATCCCTCACTTTTCTGAGCTGTAGGCTGTCTCTGCACGGTGGGAGTTGCTGTCTGGACTCTCTGTAGCTGCTCCCCTGTGGATCAGTGAGTAGAGATAAGGAGGTAGGGATATGCTGGGACTTCCTATCCCTGCCTCTCTCCACACGCAGTGACCCCTACTGGCCAGTTCTGGTATTGCGTCGTAATCTCTGTTTATACTGAGAAAAATACCAGCATTTGTATTGCCAGAATGACGGCAATATCGACAATGGCCAGACAGCCTCAAATACTGGCTGTGCCAATAAAATACCAGCCAGGTAGAAACCCTAAGAGTAGTGTGTTGTTTACAAAAATATATATATAAATATATTATTTTTTTAATCAATGGGCCTGGGTCTGGAGCTGCAGCTCCATCAGTCCCTATGTTAATCCGGCCCTGTGTATGTATATATGTGTGTGTGTGTGTGTGTGTATATATATATACACACACACACATACACATTCTATATATATATACAATACGATGGGAGTTTTGCACTCTAGCTCTCCTCCAAATCTTGGCCCAGTGCTCAGCTGCACACAAATACAGTCTCCAAAAAGAAAGCCAGCACTCAAGGACTTCAATGTGAAAAAATAGGCATTTAATCCAAGGTGTCCTGAGGAAAGTTCACAGTTGTGAACTGAATCGTTGACCACTTGGATTAAATGCCTATTTTTTCACATTGAAGTCCTTGAGTGCTGGCTTTCTTTTTGGAGAATATATATATATCTCTATATATAATTACTATGTACACAATGAGACGAATACAACTTATTGTAGAAACAACCAGTTATTAGATAGACATATGGTGTGTTTAAAATTGAATGAAGGGTTTGAAAGAAAAACCCTTGTTTAGTCCTGAGGGTGATAGAGTTTTGAGTTTTTAAATCCAGAAACTTTCGCATTGGCAAAACTTCTGGTCCAATTCACTCCTCCTTGGATCCAATGTCACTTTCTCAACTCCTGAAAAAAATCATATTTTCAGCAGTCCCCATGGTGAGTCTTAAAATGTCTGGATATTCACGTGTCAATCAACCTAGATGTGTTTACTGAACTGACATGTTCCAATATCCTCTTTTTAAAAGGACGATTAGACTTGCCCACATATTGTAATGAGCAGCTACAGGTAAGTAAATAAACCATGCCTCCAAAAGATAAGTGCAAAAAACTGTATAAAAACATACTCATTTTCCTGGCACTATAGTGCCCTGAGGGTGCCCCCACCCTCAGGGTCCCCCTCCCACCCGGCTCTGGAAAGGGGAAAAGGGGTAAAACTTACCTTTTTCCAGGGCTGGGCGGGGAGCTCTCCTCCTCCGATCCTCCTCCTCTCCTCCCAGTTGGCTGAATGCGCACGCGCAGCAAGAGCTGCGCACGCATTCAGCCTGTCGCATAGGAAAGCATTATCAATGCTTTCCTATGGACGCTTGCGTGCTCTCACTGTGATTTTCACTGTGAGAATCACGCAAGCGCCTCTAGCGGCTGTCAATGAGACAGCCACTAGAGGCTTTGGGGGAAGGATTAACCCATTTATAAACATAGCAGTTTCTCTGAAACTGCTATGTTTATAAAAAAAATGGGTTAACCCTAGCTGGACCTGGCACCCAGACCACTTCATTAAGCTGAAGTGGTCTGGGTGCCTAGAGTGGTCCTTTAAAATACTTTGTCACATTTTTGTGTATTATGCACTAATCGACTCCAGCATGCATTGCCTGCAATAGTTACCTCTTGTAAGTAGGTTATCATTAAGTTTACAACTGGTATTATTTACAAATAGTCAGAATTGTAAATATTTTCCTTTAACATGCATTTGGCACGATACCCTGGATTCATTCTATTAGCTCGGGGTTGTTGTCCTTCTTGCTCAGAGTACCAATAAAATTATGTTACGTTCCAGAGTGGAACGCACATGCGCGGCTGACGTTAACAGGGCGCATCATGTTTTTGGACATTGACTGTCAAAGAAATTATAGCTGCAGAGACAGCGCAATTGGGTTCAGCGTTAGCCCCTGCTATTGCGGCGATCTGGGGTTAACGTCAGTAAATGACAAAACATTTCCGTCTTGCGTAGGAAAGGGGTTAAAAAGTTATGTTGTACTCTTAGTGTCCCATTTAGACCTGATACATTAAAGCCTGATTTTTGGTGCCATCTAGTGTCTCAGCTCAGGTACTGCAGCTCCTTTCCAATATGGCATGTATTTATTTAGACTTAGGGAGGTGTATTAAGGGTTAGATCTTTTTATATTCTTTTGCTTTATAGGATATGTGTATCTACTTACATTTGTTTGTTTAACATTACTTTGATGTAGTATTTATTTCCAGGCAGCAATATTTGTTATTGCATTTTTTTTCTCTACTACACACACTTCTCTATTAAATATCTCCATTCTTGTCTTTGCATATTACACTTCTTGGACACGTGCCATCAGCTAAAAAGTGTCAGTGTGCCTGTTGCTAGGTGTTATTTTATCTTTTTAAAAACGTATTGCACAATCACTTTTTCTTTCTTTTAGATTTTTAGATTTTTGATACCATTATATTAACTATCTTTGTTTGAACAGCACCCCAGAATTTTCTATTCCTATACATCCAACTTGGGTTGTTGCAACAACTTGTTTGTTAGTCAACCTATTGTACAGGACTGTGGAAAATGTTGATTCTTCATAAATACTATGTATTCATTTGCTATTGTAAGATTTGCATCCATGCCTTTTTGTTTCTATTAAAAGGCCTTGCTTCCTCATTTTTTATCATTTAAGAAACAAAAAGTGATCAATGAATAATATATAATTGGTATCATTTATACAATAAAACTGTATTTTTACTTACTGGAGGAAGAGTGAGCAGGCCAATAGTATCTGGGGGAAAAAAGATAAAAGGTTCATTTAAATTTAGCATATTAGTTTATATACAATAATTGTTTGGAGAAAAACACAAGAATATGTAATTGTATTTATAAATCAATAATATGTGAAAAACTTCTGTCTGGACAAAACCAACTCTACTAAATCAACTTAAACCAAATTAAGTAGTATTGGTAAGTATTTATGACTTAAATCAGTTTTGTTATGGTTTATGCTGCCCTAGCTGCACATATCCTGGCTTTTATTTAAATAGTCTACATTGAGAAAAAAAAAAGTTTAATTTTCAAACAGATCAACACAATCTGGCATACCCATTAAAGTGAAAAATGTCAGGAATTTAACCTCTTTGTGACCAGACTATTTTTCAATTTTCTTACCGCTAACGACCAGGGCTGTTTTCAAATTTCTGCGGTGTTTGTGTTTAGCTGTAATTTTCATCTTACTCGTTTACTGTAACCACACATATTATATATCGTTTTTCTCATGATTAAATGGTCTTTCTAAAGATACCATTATTTTTATCATATCATATAATGAACTATAACAAAAATTATAAAATATGATGAAAATTTTTAAAAAACACACTTTTTCTAACTTTTACCCCTAAAATCTGTTACGTATCTACAACCGTCAAAAAACACCCATGATAAAGTTTCTACATGTTGTCCTGAGCTTAGAAATACCTAATGTTAACATGTTCTTAGCTTTTATTTGCAAGTTATAGGGCAATAAGTACAAGTAGGACATTACTGTTTCAAAATATATATTTCTTTATAATTTATCAATAGTGACACTGTTATCTGTCATAAATCTCTGAATCACACCTCACATGTACATATTTTTTTAAAGTAGATAACCCAAGGTATTCAATATCGGGTATGTCCAGTCTTTTTTAGTAGCCATTTAGTCACAAAGACTGGCCAAAGTTAGCATTTATATTTGTTTGAGTATTAAAAATGCGTCACTTTCTCTAACAATATTGCTGTGATATGTTTTACTGGTTTGAAACACTAATTTGTGTTCTGTGAAGTCTCCTGAGTAAAACAGTACCCCTTCATGTACAGGTTTTAGTTAGAAAGTTAGAGGGGTAAATACAGTGCTAGCAAATTAAATTCTCTGGACATTCGGCCTGGGTTGTCAGGCAGGTCCCTCAAATTGCAATCAATAAAATTACTTAATTATGTAAAAATTATACATAAATATGCACGTATAATTTAAATATATGTACATATTTATATATTTAAAGTCTACGTGTATATTTATGTAATTATGTATATGGATAAATACATATATTTTGTATTTGTATTTATATACACATAGATATCTGTGTGTGTGTGTGTGTGTGTGTGTATATATATATATATATATATATATATACCGTACATACTCGAGTATAAGCCAAGCTTTTCGGCACATTTTTTGTGCTGAAAAAGCCCCCCTCGGCTTATACTCGAGTCACTGTCTGTATTATGGCAACTTGTAATGAGCCCGGCGGTCCTGTTGGTGGCCGGCAGCAAGCTGTTACTTACCTGTGCAGCAGCTCCGTTCAACTTCCTTCACCTCCGTTCCGTTCAGCTCACTGTGTACTTACCTTTGTCGCGCAAGCTGTTTGTCCCCACCCACCTAAACCCATCTATATTAACAATTCACCTTTGTGGGCCCTCTTTTACAGGCCTACTCGTATGTTGGTTTCGACACACCTCAACCAACTTTGCTTCTCCTTCTACATCCCATTACATATTAGATAAATTCTGAGCACAAATATATATATATATATATATATATATATATTTATTTATTTATTTTATTTTTTTGCTCAGAATTTGTGTAATTTTACTGTGTATTTTTTATATTAATACATGTATATGTTAATAAAAACATACACTTAGTATGACGTTATATATAAGATATATTCATATTATATATAGCTATAATAGAAACATAGAATGTGACGGCAGATAAGAACCATTCGGCCCATCTAGTCAGCCCAATTTTTTTAAATACTTTTATTAGGCCCAGGCCTTATCTTATAGTTAGGATAGCCTTATGCTTATCCCATGCATGCTTAAACTCCTTTACTGTGTTAACCTCTACCACTTCAGCTGGAAGGCTATTCCATGCATCCACTACCCTCTCAGTACAGTGATACTTACTGATATTATTTTTAAACCTATTCCCCTCTACTTTAAGACTATGTCCTCTTGTTGAGGTAGGTTTTCTTATTTTAAATATAGTCTCCTCATTTACTGTGTTGATTCCCTTTATGTATTTAAATGTTTCTATCACATCTCCCTTATCGTCTTTCCTCCAAGCTATACGTGTTAAGTTCCTTTAACCTTTCCTTGTAAGTTTTATCCTGCAATCCATGAATCCGTTTAGTAGCCCTTTTCCGAACTCTCTCTAAAGTTTCAATATTCTTCTATAGATACGGTCTCCAGTACTGTGTACAATACTACAAGTGAGGTCTCACCTGTGTTCTGTACAATGGCAAGTGGGAGTTTTTATAGGATAAGATATATTCAAACTCCTCCCACAAATACATGCCTATGGCCTTAAAACTTGTGGTCGGAAACATATTAGTAATATACGTAAATCGGGCTAATACAAAGTTGGTTGGGGTGTGCCGTAACCAACATACAGGTAGGCCTGTAATAAAAGAGGGCAAAGAGTTATCGAAGAACAACACACTTTATGCATCACGTTTACAAGGCCAAACATTTAAAAGCTTTCCTCATTTCTTTCCGGGATGAGGTATGTACTGATTGTAAACTGAGGATTACAATCTCCCCAATTTTAAGGATATGCATTGGAGTGTCCGTGCTGAAAGCGGTTGGAGCTGCCCCTATTCTAAATGAATGACCAGAAAAAGAAGACGGGTTGAAACCCAATCTTAAGAGAAGTGTTCTAATGTAAAATAAGAACTTAGCAGTAGTCAGAGAGATTGCTGGAAGTGAAAGAAGTGGTTAATTGTGTGTGACATGACTGTATGTGGGTAAGTAGGAATAGAGTATTTTAACTGAGCACCACCTGTTCTTGGTGGGATAAAGTGGTATAGCGGATGGATGAGTCATTTGGTTTGTTTTTAGAGGTTAGTAGAGAGAGTATATAGTGATAGTGATGTTTAGTGATATCAGATATTTTACTCTAGAGATGATGCATGTCTAGCTACTGTAAACTCTTGGGATCTAAAACCATAGCAAGCAATATAACTTTTTTAATGACTTGATTTGTGGGACTGTCAAATGTTTGTGTGTCCAGTAAATCAGAGAGGGCTCAGAATATTGGACCATAGATTGGTAACCTGGATGAAGTTTATCTGTATTATTGATATCCCGCAATATACTTTAATAGCATAGGACATGAGAAAAGGGATTTGATTGCGATGATACTTGGTGAGTACGTGATTCTATGGAGAAATGTTCCTGTACGTTTGTGATATCAGATAGTGCAGAATGTGATAGTGACTGGACGTGAGACAGAAGGCTGGCTAGTTCATCACAAGCTATTAGTGGAGTTCTGGACAGGAGCCTGTCTGATGTGGGGATTGATAGCCTGATAGTGAGAAATAGGTGAAAATAATCAAAGAAATAGCATTCCAAGAAACAAGAAAATGTTGCCACATTCATAAATCGGCTAAGGCAGGGGGTCGAGGAGAACAGTCACATTATTAGACAAGCTGGGAAATAGACAAAGAACCCTAGAAATTAATGCCCCTCTCTGTGGGATGATTTGCATGGCAAAATTGAGTGACCGCAGTAAGAACTGAAGCTCCCTACGAGAACATGAACCAGCTCGCAGGAAATGGTCCACTTCCTCACTAATGTGTACCAGCTTCTCCTCTGAAAGGCTTGCCTGAAAAACGACTGTGTCCAAGGTGATGCCCAGGAATACCAACCTTGTGGATGGGCTAAGAGTCTTATCAGCTGAAATAGTGATACCCAATGTGGTGAAACAGGCAGTACTGCTGAAACAACTTGAGGTGTCTGTGTACAAGTTTCTACTAGGATTAAGTTGTTGAGGTACTGAATCACCGTGGGACATCAGACGACATTGAGAAGCAGCCAACAGAGTGTTTTTGTGAAGATATCGAACAGTTTTGGACTGAACCAAAAGTAAGTCTAGTGTAAAAGTAATAATTATCCCTCCACTTAACACCGTGAATATGCCATAGGGACGGGTGAATTGGTAGCAGCTTGAAAGCTTTAGAGAAATCAGTTTTGCTAAGCCAAGTATGTAAAATGGCCTGGGTGGCGTAGTCGATTGTGGTGTAATGGAAGGAAAATTCTTTAGCAGGAATGAGAGAGTTAATGCTTGTTGTGTGTGAAGAATGAGGAGCTGAAAGATCAATGATAAGCTTTTATATTTGACAATTTGTGAGTCTAAACACCGATGGGATATGTGCGCCAAGTCTGAAATGATGAATGAGAAATGAGCCTAAGACAAAACCTAGATGTACTTATTTGTTCAGTAGAGGATCTACAGTTAAGGGATCGGAATAGGCTGATAATGATTGGGGCAATCGTGTGTGCCTGAGGGAAGTGCCACGAGACCTGTATGAAAACCAGTGGAAAATACAGAAACCAAGAATTCCTAAGGGGGGTGAGGGGTAAAAGCGTAAGTGATGGTTTAGAGTGGCCCGATTAACCTCTGTAAGTCATTTCTTGGGAAAGAGCTTGGTGTGGCACATTGAGTTTGCATGTGTCCTGAAACATATAGAGCAGATGTGCAACAATCTACAGGCACTGCAATTGCAGGTACCAGCGTTAAAATTGCTGCACACATATGCTTTCCCCAAGAAAACTAGGGGTCTGCCCAATTTGTCCTTCTGACCCCAATCTTGACCCACAGTGGAAACGAGAGTGGTACGGGGGGGTGGTGGATATAGATGGGTCAGCTTTGCAGGAGCAAATGTAGGGGGAATGGGAGGAGGGTGAACAAATTGCACAAGCTGGGGGCTTCAAGCCAGCAAAATGGCTGCAGAACAGTTTAGTATCCAAATGACTCCAGTCGATTTTAATGTTAAACTGGGCCAGAGCTGCCGCTGCTGTAGCTGACACAGACTTGTGATAGTCATAGCAAGAAAAGCCCCTGTACTTGTGCCCTAAATCCTCCAACTTGTGTAAGTAGATATCCAGTTCCTCTTGCCTCTGGGGATATATGCGGAACATCAGATGTCTCTGTAGAGACCAAAGGCGAGTATCAATAAGGGAATTGATCCCTGGCTTTAAGGGCCCTTGACAAATCCACGTAGTAACTTTATCCTCAATAATGTCTTTCCTGATGGAGGTGGGGATCAAATGTGTGAGTGTGACAATGTGAGATGTGGAGGGAAGAGGAAAACTGTGTTCGAGCTATTCTGTGAGATCAGGGCCAGATTAAGAGCACAGTGGGCCTGGTGCTGACAATTATGATGGGGCCTAATTACAGAATCTTATCGACCAAAAACACTGAAACAGTCTTACCTCTCAAGTGTCATGTATCTGATATAGATGGTGTTGGAGGAAAACTCAAAGGATGCAGCTATAAGAAAACACATCTTCTATGCTAATCTCTCTCTAATTTATGCTTTCATCTTTCAAGTAAATTCATACCCCCCTAACAGCAGCGTCCAGTGAAGCAGGAAGTCAATGGGCGGGGTAAAAGGGTGGGTCACTGACGCAAATCACATGACCAGAACAGCCAAAAGAGCAAACATGCCTAAAAAGGGGGCAAGTCTGTCCAATGAATTGGAAGGGCAGCCTGGCATCAGTGTCCCTATGTATCACAGTGCCATGTCACCAAGGACTCTAGTCTCCCAGTGAGAGACATGGGGACACAGTGAGACATGGGAACACTGAAAGACCCAGGGACACTGAGACACCTGGGGACACTGGGAGACATGGGGGCACTTGTGGATACAGACATGGAGACACTGGGAGAAATTGGAACACAGATATAAGGGACACAAAGACAAGCAGACACAGACACTGGGAGACATGGGGACACAGACATTTGGCGACACTAAGACACTAGGGACACTGAGAAACACGGAACACAGACACTGGGAGACATGGGGACACTGAGACACTAGGTACACTGGCTGGGAGGCATGGGGACACATAGTTGGGGACACTGGGAGACATGGGGGCACTTGTGGACATAGACATGGGGACACTGGGAGATGTGGACAAGGAGACATTTGGGGACACTGGGAGACATAGGGACACAGAGACATCGGGACACTAGGGACACTGAGAGACATGGGGACACTAGGGACACAGAGACATAGGGACACAGACATTGGCTGGGATACAGAGACATGGGGACACTGACACACTAGGGACACTGGTTGTGAGACATGTGAACACTGGAAGACATGGGTACAAAGACATTTGGGGACACTGGGAGACATGGGGACACTGAGACAGGGACACTGAGAGACATGGGGACACAGACACTGGGGGACTAGGGGACACTGAGACACTAGGGACACTGACTGAGAGACATGGGGACATTGGGAGACATGGAGACACTGTGTCCCTAGTGTCTCCATGTCACAATGTGTCTCCCAATGTCACTATGTCTCACAGTGTCCATATGTGTCTCAGTGTCTCCATGTCTCACAGTGTCCCCTAGTGTCTCAGTGTCCCCATGTGTCCCCTAGTGTCTCAGTGTCCCCATGTCTCCCTGCTGCCTTTCCCCCCCATCCTTCACTTACCTGAGCTGTAGGCTATCTCTGCAGACTGGGAGCTGCTGTCTGGACTCTCTGTGCTTTGTAGCTGCTCCCCCGCATGTCAGTGAGTAGAGAGGCAGGGAGGGATATGCTATAACTTCCTATCCCTGATTCTCTCCACATATAGTGACCCCTACTGGCTGGTGCTGGTATTGCAGAATAATCTCTGTTTATACTGAGAAAAATATCTGCATTTGTATTGCCCGTATTACTGCAATACCGGCATGGCCAGCCAGCCTCAAATAAACACATAAAATACCAGTCAGGTGGCAAACCTAAGAGTAGTGTGTGTAAAAAAAAAAAAAAAAGTAAAAAAACATGTTTTTCATTTTTTTTTAATGGGCCTATTCCATGGGCCTGGGCCTGGAGCTGCAGCTCCATCAGCCCCTATGTTAATCCAGCCCTGTGTGAGATTGAAACTGTGGGTAAGTTCAGGGGTTCAAGAATTCTATGGAAGTCATATTTTGACCTACCGCACGCATGGTCCCATGCCCAAAGCAGTTCCAGAGAATCAGGGTGTGCGGCCAGTCTACTTCAGGATTCGAAGTACAGTAGCTGTTCGTGGATAAAGTGATCATATGTATCTTGTTCGTGCGTTTCTGTTTACTGAACGCCGTTCAACTCCCATTCGAATAGCGGAACATCCATGAAAGGTAAAGTTTTAGCGGTGTTTGCATCGACGAGTGTCCGATTTGAGTTCCATTGAACTCGACGACCAAACACCACTCATGGTACTCGCGGCTTAAGATGGCCGCCGCCACATGGTCGAATGGCACTTCGAATGGCTTTGGGAGTTCGAAGTGCCACTTCAAAAGTTCGAATGGTTCCTGTTACCAGTTCCAATAGACACAAATGGTGTTTTCAACCAGGGTTTAACACGGAGTCCATAGTAACAGGGTACATGGCTGGTAAGTACGCCCCTCCAAGGACCCGTGATGAAGTTTAGTTCATCACAGGGCACTCTCGGCCTTCGGCTACGATAGCTCTACAGGTGGCCCTCACTAGGCCTTCACTCCATTCAGTTACATATGGCCCTCTTCGGGCAAACAAGTACAATCCAATTTCACCCTCCCAGACCCCCATTAGAGCATTTACATACAACATTTTCCTGCTTACGAAGGAAAACTACAACCCTTTCATATCACATTCTACTATTCCACACTGCCTTGCAAGGCCCATACAAGAACACCTCATTATGCCATTATAGATATTCAGACCTCTATGATCTGTCTATTTTACTTAAATTAGTATAACCTACACCTTCAACTAAGGCGCTTATTAAATCTCATAATTCTCTACACGGTAGTAAACTAGAGATGTTTTGGTGTTTAATTACTTAGGTTATTCCTTCTCACACATAGTTCAGGTCCTTCTAGTAGAAGGACGCACAGTGGGAACTCATATCTAGATTCAGTTCAATCAGGTATCTCTTTTACTTACTCATTTTGTTTGGCCTATGTACTTATGCATAAGTTCCCTTATTTTTCTAAATTCCCACCATCCTTACTTATGAATCTGTTGTTGATGTATAAATCATTAACCAAAACACAGGTACATTATCTCAATTACCACTTGCATCATCCTGGACATATCCCCATTGTGTATTTAGGTTCCTTTCTATGACATTCCTTTCTCAAGCTCAAACTCACTAGTTGGGCAAGGTACGCATGTTTCAATATACTTTCTATCAATCCATTACGTTTCTATTTCCCTACATTCCTTAGGGATAGATCAACTGGCTGCAAAGGGTTTGGTGCAAGCCATTTTCTAGTATGTTCATAACTCAGTCCCGTGAGGCCAATACCCATCCTCACACGGAGGTATTCACCCATCGGCCCAACTCATAGCTAGACCTCTACAGGTTATTAGATAGGGCCTCACCTATCTCAGCCACTCATTTGATCTCTTACTTGTCACTAAGACACCACTTCTCACCACTTCTTTCGGTGACCTCAGTACCTCAGCCAAGATCACAGCTAGAGCCTCTCTGAGCCACTTGGCATTTAGCAAGGCCTCACCTTCCCCTTTTAAAGCTAATTTCTTTGCCATCCGGCACTTAGCGAGCTCCTAGTTGATACAGGGCTACACTCTCATTGAGATGCCCATTACATATGCTCATTGTTTTTTCATCATAGTATGTCTCTCACCACAGAACTAGAAGAGGTTATTTCATTTCCAAGTACCCTGCCAGACCCTGCACCTCAGCTAGTCCCTTGTACTCTGGTCAAGTACCAGGATACCACTAACACAGTTCCTAATTGCTGCTGAACTCTTGCATAAAGACTTACCGTTCCCAGCAACAGTACTGAAGCCGAGCTGTACAGACTCATGAGTGTCAACTCTGAACTCCCCATCTAGGTATCTGCACCCGTGCAAACATCACAGACAACATGGCAGAGATGCATGCTATGATGACATCAATTCTTTCATTAATTATGTTCTATGATAGTCTGGAGAATTAGTCTCCTAACTCAGGAGTTCCTAACCCTTACACTGAGTACTCCACTATGTACCCCTTACTTTCATCCACTATGGGTAACATCACAAGTTACCGAGCGGCACACATTCCCTCTGCTCACGTTATTTCACTTTCACATTTAATTCTTCGGTCATTAGGAAGTACATATTGGTAGGCAAAGACATCAATTTGGTCTCATCGTAGATTGACTTCACTAATTCATTCCAAAGTAGTTCCCTGCAACATGCCACAGTGGACGTCTCTGTGGCATTTGCACGGTATTAAGTGGTAGGGGCACTTTATTTGCCACTCATCTCATGTCTGGGATCTATAGCAGCCCTAAACTATTCAATGTATTTTTGGTAACCCTCTCATGGCTGCTATTGACTGTCTGTGACTGCTATACAACAATACATTATCATGACACATTTCTGACTGTTGAGGAACCTATTGCTATACTCTAGAGCATTCACAATCCTGTGGCCCCGTTTCATCCTGGTATACCGCTACCCCAAGATATACCATAGGCCCATACCTGTAATATTACCTGTAATATTACTATTACTAGGTAATATTACTAGGCATTATTGGGCAGACTAGATGGGCCGAATGGTTCTTATCTGCCATCACATTCTATGTTTCCATGTACATCTTGACTTATTGTCAATATAGCCCTGCCCCCCGCGGACAGTGTCCAGCATATATCAGGGAAGATGGAGTCATTCATTGGCAAAGGTTCATTCCCCCACTGACCAACGATTCCCCTGCTATTTTAGACTGGGTTTGCAGTCATTATCAAGGACAACTAGTCCTGTGGCACATGGCCCGCAGCCACTGCACAAGCCTGGGGGTGTCTATGGGGGAAGAAGTCTGTCAATTACTACTCAAACACAGAAGTGTGCAAAGTTACTTGGCTAGCAGCAACACAGCAATTTTACCTTGTCTGCATACACATACCAGCCTATCACAACAGAGCAGCTGAAGTCTTGTCTCAATCCCATTTCAGATATTCCTCCAAACATTACACAGCTGCTTAACCACATACTAAAACTCCTACATTCCAGGATCTCATTCTGGATTAGCTCATCTCATGGTCATGGTAGATTGCTGGCACATGCGTCTCTCTCTGCTTACACCAACCATTTATATACCAGTACTCTGGCCATTTTAATAAGTTCACTTCCGAATATCAAATCACAAATCCGTACTCCATCGATACCATGGTGATATCCACATCCTTTTGCCACCTCAACCTTAAATTAGCTAACAAACACACTTATCTCATACCTACCTGCAGACATATACCTACATACTATCAACAATAAATGGTGCCAGGTCAACATACTAGACCAATTATCTGACACTCACAGGACTACACAGGCATACGCTGTCTTTTAAGGTTACATGGTAACCACTCACTACATCAAATTCATCCTGTACGCCAGGACACAATTCATAAAACTCTGATATGACCCTTCAACATATTTAGGTCATTCATTTAGAATAAGCACTGCTTCTGCAGCCTTTAGTAAACATCCCAGCTCACATTATAAACTGGGACATTGGAATCATCTACATACAACAGATATACCTCAAACGGAGAGGGAACTGAGGCAGGCATTTAAAGTACTGGTTATGTAATGTCGACACGTACTAAGGATTAAACTGTTAGCTTTTTGCCCTCTTTTACAGGCCTAACCAAACATCAGCACACCACAACCGACTTATACCACTACTATAACTTGGCTTATTGTCCCCGACTACAAATGGAAAGGCGGAGCCTATAGTTGTAGGAGGGGTTTATCTGGCCTATAAATTCACAGGCCTCCCCTTCCTCTGGGCTGAAACTTCAGGGTTCAGCCCAGCCAGCACACCCTTTATTAAGCATTCACTTAGTGGGCCCTCTTTTACAGGCCTATCTGAACATCAGATTCGTCACACCACAACAACTTATACCAGTACTATAACTCAGCTTATTGTCTCCAAATGGGTATACATCTATATATAAATAAAAATGAAAATAAAATATATATATATACATATGTATATATATATATATATATATATTTATTTTTATAATTTTTTTAAATAATTGTCATTTTATTAATTACAATTTGAGGGACCTGCCCAACAACCCAGTCAGAAAGTCCAGAGAATTTGGCTCGCAAGCCCTATATTTAACCCTGTAACTTTCCAGGACACTATAAAACCTGATAATATCGCCAATGAAAGTGCCATTTTTTGCATTTTTCACACACAAACTGTACTTTCGCTGATGATATAATTGTTATAATACGTTATACTATATGGAAACACTAATATTTGTGTTCAGCGAAGACTACCGAGTATAACAGTACCCCCCATGCACAGGTTTTTGGTGTTTTCAAAAGTTACTGAGTCAAAAATAAGGCTTGAATTTCCTTTTTTTTGTCATATTGAAATTTTTCCAATTGGTTATGTTGCCTTTGAGACCGAATGGTAGCCCATGAATGAGAATTACCCATGATGGCATATCATTTGCAAAAATAGACAACCCAAGGTATTGCAAACGGGGTATGTTCAGTCTTTTTTAGGTTCAGGTACCCTTGATAAAGGCAGCCAGTTGGTGCCGAAACGTTGGGGGGTTTGGTGACTCGTGTTTCTGTCTGGAGGCTTGTAAGAATTTTTGTGGTAATTTACTATTGTTTTATTGTGTTTGCCCTTGCTTCTGTCACTTTGTTTATCTTTTCTTATATGTTTTCACTCTGGTACTTTTTTGTACATAATAAAGCAAAGTTTTTTTTTGAGATTGTTATAGTGTGCATTCTATATTCTATATACAGTCTTTTTTAGTAGCCACTTAGTCACAAAAACTGGCCAAAATTAGCATTCAAGTTAGTTTTTTGCATTTTTCACACGCATTTTTCACACACAAACAAATATGAATGCTAACTTTGACCAGTGTTTGTGACTAAGTGGCTACTAAAAAAGACTGGACATTTGTATTACCTTGGGTTGTCTACTTTAGCAAATTGTATGTTATCATGGGAGTAATGTTCATTCCTAGGCTACCATACGGTCTCAAAGGCAACAAAGCCAGTCTGGCAAATTTCACTGTGTATAAACTGAAAAATGTAATGTGTTGTATTTACCCCTGTAACCTATACATGGGGGGGTACTGTTTTAATCGTGAGACATCTCTGAATACAAATATGTGTGTGTTATTGCAGTAACAGCTAACATTATTATGACATTCCCAGTTAAAATTCCATGCAGAACTAAAAAAAAATTCTTAATTTCTAAATATTTTATTCATATGAAATGATGTTAAAGATATAAATATTTGATGTGGCACGAAAGCCCTGTTTCCCCTGAACAAAATTACATATAATATGTGTTGGTGCATTTAATATGAAAGAAGTGAATTACGGCTGAACAGACATTTAAACAAAATAAAGAAGTGGGTTTTCAATGATTTTTTGAAGGAATGGAGAATGTGTGAAAGCATAACAGAGAAGGGTAAGGAGTTCCACAGAAAAGGTGCATCCCTGGAGAAGTCTTGAAGGCAAGCATCCGAGGTGGGCGTACGGACAAAGGATCGACGTAGATCTTCGGCAGAGCGCAGGGGTCTAGACGTGTCATACTTGTGTATTAGGGAGGATAGGTAGGCTGGAGCAGCATTATATAGGGACTTGTTAGCAAGCACCAGAATATTAAATTGAGCCCTATATCTTACTGGAAGCCAATGTAGGGACTGACCGAGTGGGGAGGCGTTGGAGGTGCAGGCAGACAGATGAGCTCCGCCGCCGCATTCATTATAGGTTGCAACCATGCAAGCTGGGAACACGTAAGACGACTGAGAAGGGGATTGCAGTAGTCAAGGTGAGAGAGAACAACGGCATGGACCAGCACCTTAGCCACGTCCGGCGTTAAATAGGGGCGAATGCGCACTATGTTTTTAAGATGGAAGTGGCAGGATTTTTATATATATATATAAATACATGATATCCTTGCACTCTGACTAATTAGTTACATACCGGGTGCTTGAAGTCCTAGGGAAAATTGAAATATCCAACTTGCAGCAGGTGACCAGCACTCAAGGATTCATGAAAGGGTTAAAACATCCAAAGTTTAATGAAAAAAATTTAAAATATATATATATATATATATTCCCAGATCCCAGCACTCAAGGTTCACGGTCTTTTCGTGCTCCGGTGCAAACAATCTCCAACCAGTATATAGTATCCAAGAAGAGAGCACTCTGGAGTCTTATAATTTGGAAAGTAAATGCTGCTTTATTGTGCAGAATACAAAAGATGTCGACGTTTCAGTCAATGCTAACTTTTTTCAAGACCATTTACTTTCCAAATTATAAGACTCCAGAGTGCTCTCTTCTTGAATACTATATATATATATATATATATATATATATATATATAGAAGGCGTATGCCTGTAATTGTGGGAGGGATTTAGGCCTATTTAAGCCCAGGGAACCCTCACTTACCTGTCTTCGTCGGTTCCGGAAATCCGTCTCCTCGCTTCCGGTGCGCGCAGACCTCTGACGTCACTTTCCCGCGTCGCTCACAGAGTACGTCCAGCGTCTCAGTGAGAGCTCACGAACGGCTCCGTTCGGTGATTACAACAACTGTAAGTCCTCATAACTGTTCGATTAAGCAACTGGTCGCATGGGGGTTTTTCTACAGGGGGGGGGTTGCCATTCGTTTTCTTACAGCTATTACATGTTCTGTCACTTACAGAGAAAGAAGAAGCGACTTTATAAATGATTATTTAACTAAAGTTGCTCTTACGGTGCTTGGAGTCCTCTGGCTTATATGTTTATTCCAAAATAAACTGACCTATGTCTGATTCAGTCTACTGTTGCATTGTTGTAAAAAGGGGCATATCAATTACAATTTGTATCATCCTGTTTCTTTCTACTTAGAATGTACATGTATTTGTTTTCTTCGTTATACTGTTATGTTACATACTTTATACGTGTCATAGAAAACCATTTACATTTATTATGTGTACAAGGCATGTCATGCTGTCTATTAACACATGCAGTCTTAGAATCTTTCAATCTAGAAATGTGCTCTCCCAGTAAGCCTAATAGCCACCGTTGGCTGTTTTCATACTTCTACCCCTCCATTAATGAAAGCGTTAAACAAGGATTATGTATTGGGTAGAGTTTAACACACAAAAAAAAAAAAAAATAGGAGGGCAGACAGTACACTGGCATTACTCAGAGCTCAGTTCACTTGCTCATTAATTTAATCATACAACTACCCAGTTATTCATCTTACTACGAATTGGTATTACGTACGCTGTTTATAAACAATTCTTTCCTTTCTAGGAATTCAATTTCGTCATTCAGTACTACCAATTTACGCAGGTTTTCACGTTCACGGTCCGGTTAGTGAAAATAAATAAATAAATAAATAAATAAATAAAAAACATTTTTAGCAAGTCCACCTAGTTTACGCCTCCCATTTGTTTTTTTTTGTTTGCAATAGGTGATTCAGCTCGGGTAATAAAAAAAAAATAAAAAAAAAATATACCACCCGACCATACAAACTCATTAGTGCGACTCAAGTACGTACCAAGTTCGCATACAGGTAAGGATAACGAACGTTTATTTATTTCTTTTTCGTACGTATCGTCCCTCATAGTTTAGGTGGCTGGCTGTTAAGGTCATAGCAACCCAGTAGTGTTAAATATCATCCCGGCTCTCTCGCCTTAAAATAGTGGTCCCGCGAGGCCAACACCCATCCTCAATTCAGAGGTACTACGTCCCTCGGGCCAATCCATAGGTAGCCGCCTCGCACGTGGCATAGAGAGGGCCTCACCTGTCACTCCCATTCTATCTTATGACTACTACTCATCGAGAGGCCAACACCCCGCCACAACGTTCGGTGGCCACGAAATTCCCTCGCGCCAACTCATAGATAGAGCCTCTCAAGCCGCTTGGCACTTAGCAGGGCCTCACCAGTCACCGGCTTAGTGTAATTGCTTCGCCGCAGAGCGGCACTAGCTAGTCAGCCAGCACACTCACTTAAAAAAAAAAAAAAAAAGTTATTTCCTAACATAACATCTCTTTTCACGCCCTTAGCATGTCTAACGAGTCAGTTCAAGAAGAAGACCTGTCACTTGCCAGCACTCCCTCCAGACCTGGCAGTCAGCCAAGACAGTCCAGTACGATGTCCAACTACAGATCCTGGACTGTCCCAAAAATCACTGCTGAACTGAATAAAAGGAACATTCCTTTTCCGGCTACAGCCAGAAAAGCTGAACTTTTCCGCTTATTAAACTCGCAAGACGTAGAGTTACCAGGCCCCAGTTCCGATGCTACGATCCAAAATAGCTTGTCAGAATTACGTAATATGATGACCTCCCTGGTGGCTTCAGTAGCTACCATAAATAATAGATTAGATAATCTGGAAACCTCTTGTCAAGCTAGCATTCCGGAAGTACAAGTCCCACTAGGACAACCAGAAACAAGCTCAGGAGGTAACTCCAATCCATTCCCTGCTAAAACATCTAATATAATCAACCCAGTACATTTGATACCACAAAACTTAAAAAGAGATATACTAGAAGGGAAAGATGTTAATCTAGCCTCTCTCCTCATTGCCTCACAGGATATAATCGAAAATAGAGCCTATACTTTCGGCGATATATCCGTGGTAATGAAAACTAGAGATCCTAGGCTCAACAAAAAACTTAATATTCCTGAGTTTGTACTAGCCTTTGGCCTATATAGAGACGTAATTTGCACTGCCTTCCCACACCGTAGAGAAGAGCTGGATCTATATCTGCACAAACTGGTGGAGTTAGCCTATAAATACGGGGGGTACGCGTTTTACGACTACCATAAGTCCTTTGCTGCCAAGTCAGCTGCATCATTGGCCCAGTTCAACACCCCCACCGATTGGAGTCAATTGGATACAGAATTATTCTGTAGACATTTTGCCGGGCTTAAAACACCAGCATGTGCAATATGTGCCTCAGCGTCTCATACGGCAAATTTCTGTCCAAATAATATAAGTGGTCCGTCTAATAGTAGTACCAGTCCGGATTATTTCCCTAATCAAAGGGAAATGAAAGATAAGTTGGGGAGACCTATAGTATTTCTCGGGAAAGCTCAAGTCTGTAACAACTTTAACGCAGGAGGCTGTAGTTACAGCGCTTGTAGATTGCTTCATGTTTGCTCAATCTGTTTCAGAGCACATGCGAAAACCATGTGTCCAAACAAACTGTTCCCTAAAAAAGCTATGACCCCAATAAACGTAAACAATTTACAACGTTACTTGACTGTACATCCTTCTTCCTACTTGACAGACTTTCTCGTATCAGGTTTCACGACAGGCTTTCACACAGGTTTGGTAGCACTCCCTTCAGGCATACTAGAATGCCCCAACCTACAATCAGCTGTTACAGACCCAGTCACTTTAACGGATCTCCTCAATAAAGAAATTGAACTTGGTTTCATGATAGGTCCCTTTACTACTCCACCCTTCACCTCCTGGAGAACCAGTCCACTCGGTATAGCCACGGGCAAGTTTAACAATAAAAAGAGGTTAATAATCGACTTTTCAGCACCTCATACTTCCACAGCCCCAAGCTTAAATTCTCTCATACCGTCAGAAGACTTTTCACTGCAGTACGCAAAAATAGACGACGCCATACAAGCTATCATCAATTCGGGCGAGGCAGCCTGGTTGAGCAAAACAGATATTTCAAACGCTTTCAAACTCTTACCAATTAAACAGTCACTCTGGCACCTTCATGGTGTTAAGTGGGAAGGGAAATCCAATTTGGAACCAGGCTGACCTTCGGCTCCAAAAGTAGCCCAAAAATCTTCGATATATTCGCAGAAACCTTAAACTGGCTACTACTAAACAATTCCAGGTGCCCAGTAGTAATTCACTACCTCGATGACTTTTTATATATCGAGCCTAGCTACTACACGCCACATAGTCTAAATAATGCACTATCCCTATTTAATGACTTAGGAGTCCCGGTAGCTCCAAACAAAACAGAGGGTCCCAGTACAGAAATAACTTTCTTAGGCATCACTCTTAATTCCGCGACTATGCAAGCTAGCCTCCCTCAGACGAAAGTAGACAGAATTCTTACTAACATTCACAACTGCACCAACCAAGGGTCTTGTACCAGGAAAGAGTTACAGTCGCTTTTGGGTTCCCTTAACTTCGCCATGAGAATTGTCCCTCAAGGCAGGTCTTTCATCTCTAGGCTTCTGTCTCTCCTACACGGCCTCCCTGACGACGGCACTAGAATTAATCTAGATAATCCTGCGAGGGCCGACCTTAATATGTGGGAACTGTTTTTAACAACTTGGAACGGTAGGTCACTTTTTATTCCCCCCATATCAGATGAGTCCCCGGTTATCTGGACAGACGCAGCAGCTACCACCGGGTACGCTGCAATATTTGAGGACGAGTGGTTGTACGACAGTTGGCCACCCGAAACACTTACCCTGGAGAATTTCGACAAAACCTCTGCGTTCTTTGAAATTTTCCCAATAGTAGCGGCAGCTCTCATCTGGGGAAATCATTGGAGGGGGAAAGCAGTGAAATGTTACTCTGATAACCAAGCAGCATGCGACATAATTAACAAGGGCCGTTCTCAGTCCCTACCAATCATGAGTCTTGTAAGGAAACTTACTTGGTTGGCTGCAAATTTACAGTTCTATATGCATTGTATCCATGTCCCTGGTGTCTTAAATAACGCAGCTGATGCTTTGTCTCGTTTTAATTTGCAGGAATTCTTCAAACTACACCCTTCAGCAAACAAACACTCCATAAATCCCCCACAATTCAAAGACCTAATCATGCTCTAAATCAATTATTAGAACATAGTAGAATTCTTGCACAGGCAGCCTTGTCGGAAAACACAAAAAAAGCTTACGATAGGGCATTTGACCTGTTCAAAAAATTTGTACAAGATTTCAATATAATAAACTGTTTTTCTGTAGAAACTATGGTTGCATTCTCAACTTTTTGCCACCTCTCATTAAAACTAGCCTACAATACCATAAAACTTTATTTAACAGGAGTACAACATTTCATGCTAATTCTTTTCCCGAACAAGTCCCCTTTCTTGTCCACATACCCTGTTAAAAGTATACTAAAAGGTATCCAGAGACAAAAGGCACATGTAGCCCTGAAAAGACTCCCCATAGACAGTAACCTCTTTAAAGATATCTCCAATCTATTAGATAAAAATCCTTTTGAATATAACACTAACCTAGTAATTAAGACAGCAGCGTATCTGGCCTTTTTTGGGTTCCTCAGACCTAAAGAATTTTCAGTAGAGAAAATATCCGACACAAAAGATTGTCTCAAACAAGGAAACCTAACTAGAGTACATGATCATTTCATATTATCTATTCCCCGCACAAAAACTAACCAATCAGGTCCCCCAGTAGACATTAAATACTTTCCTACCGGTTCCATCTGGTGCCCAGTACAAGTACTAGATAAGTTCATACTGAGTCAACGAGTTAAAAATCCAGATTTGCCTCTGTTGACCCTACAAGGTAAGCCTCTCACCACTAAACAATTCATGCTATACATCCGCGCTGTACTCCTCAGACTAGGCCTCAATCCTAACTCCTTCACGGGACACTCATTCCGCATCGGAGCAGCCACAACAGCCTCAAGTAGTCAAGTGCCAACACATATTATAAAGAAAATGGGCCGCTGGAAATCCTCCGCGTATAACCAGTACATTCCAAACCCGGAGAAAGAGATCAGACTTGCTTTTTGTAACATGTCTAAATAATGTTGTGTTAATAAATGTTTGTTTCTCTTATTTTTGCCCTCTTTTTTACAGGCCTAACCTCTCGTCGGTTTCGGCACACCTCAACCGACTCTCATTTTCAAAAAAAACATAACTCTCCATTTAAGTATACGCCCCTTTTATAATCCCGTACACAAATATATATATATATATATATATATATATATATATATATATATATATATATATAACAAAAATAGTAATGCACTCCACCTTCCTTGATGTACTTGCCCGGTGCTCATCGGCAAACAGATACAGCCAAAAGTACAAGATAGCAGGATGAAAAGTCTGTGACACAGACTGAAACGTTGATTTTTATTTTGAGCTAATAAAAGCTAAGTTTTATTCATTCGACTTGGAAGTCACTGGAGTGCTATCTTGTACTTTTGGCTATATATATATAATTAGGTTGGGTATGACATACATACATACATTTATACTACAGGGCCGTTGAATGCTTCAATCTGATTGGTTGATGAACGTTCTAAGGTGTGCATTATTTTCAGGGAGACGCATGGCTAAAGTAGGTCCAGACAGGTCTTGACGCATTACAGTTGCATAAGAAATTAATCCTACATACAAGAGCGTTTTAATGACAAAAACTTGACAAACGTCTTGAAATACATCATCTGAACAATGTTTTGAGGTGTGGCAACTGTAGTATAAGCAGAATAATTGACTCCAGGCCGTTGAATTATTAGAAAGAAATAATGCACACCCGAGGTGTAACGGACACTTCGCTTCGCGTCGTGACCGCATTACCACCTCGGGTGTGCATTATTTTTCTGTCGTCAATTATTCCTTACATATATTTATTTTGGACATTGTTAATTCTTATTATTGCAACATTTGGGGGACTGCCTGACAACCCAGTCAGTCCCATTACAGGCAGCTCCATGGACTCCTATTGTGGCCATGAGATTGCTCTGGCAGCATGCACTTAGTTATACATTTCGTTCATTGTAGTTTATCTAAAAACAGCTTGGAAACGTTGAAGTCCTCTTCTTGCAGCCTTTGTGAGGCCTCGCCTTCTTCATCAGCCCAGACATTCTGTGGCTGTCCAATCACATACTTTACAATGCAGTTCAATGAGAAGTCTTTGCAAGGCAAAGCTTGCAAAAGTATGCTAAAGTGCTTTAGGGGTGTAGATTGGTTCTTTACGTACAAAATAGATAAAACAAGCAAAATTAAGCTGTGCTACTAAGTGGTTAATTAGATAAATTCTATGCATGTGCTTGTTATTTACCTCTAGAGAAGATCTTACTTGCATTTACTAATAAAATTCCATCTTGTCCCAAAATTTCTGCAGTCACCGTAGCTTCAGAATAATTTGTTCCAAACAAGTGAACAGCAAGAGAAGTATTAACACCAGGGAGAATAATATTAAGCGCTGTGATGTGATATGATGGCCTATAAAAACAAAAACATAAAATATATTGAATTATGATATAGTTTGTTTTCACTTCCCCATGAATACTTTTATACACAATTTCCAAAATGTGATATTTTAATGTGCAAATAATTTTTTTTTTAGGCATTTAATATACGTTGACAACTTATTTAAGTGACAAATGTTATCATAGATTATGAGATCTATTAATGATGGTAAACAAAGAATAAACCAAAAAAAAACACCTCCCACCCTAACTTGCTTTTGTGTGGTATAGTATAATCTCCAACAATTATATTTCTGGAGTCCTCTTGGATAAAATCTTCTAAAAGAATATTTTATCAAACACTTTTGAGAAAGCCTGTGATTTGGCGAAACGCGTAAGGGGTATTTTTTTTATATTTTATGTAATAAAAAGAGTATGCTTTTTATCTACTTTGGACCATCCTAATTGATTTTAGAAGATTTTATCCAAGAGGACTCCAGAAATATCCTTGGTGGGGATTATACCACCTATGCTATTTGGATTGAGCAAAACCATTTTTGCTCTTCTTTTGTGAGTACCCCCTTTTTTTATTTTATTTTAATACTACTTTACTATCAGTGAGCACTGTTGGTTGTTTTTATATTCCTTTTATGCCACATCTGCATTGGTGAGCTGCTACTACCCACGCCAGGACTACCATATAGTGCATCTGGATCCGGACATACTTCCTGGAAAATTGTTGCAAATTATTTTTGAGGCATTTAATATACGTTGTATAGTAGTAGAAATGACACCCTAAGTTTGGTGTGATTGTTCCAGGAGCTGGTTCACCAAAAAGGCTTTTGAATATGATGTCACTAATATTGAGGTTATAATAAAATTGACATTAAGTGTGATAATACCAATATTAAAATTAAATCAAGTAGATCAAGCAATTCAGGAGAAAAGTGCAGCAAATATGTATGGTGTGTATGTCTTTAAATCTGCTAAGAGCAGAATAAATGAAGTATCCACCAGATGTTGTACTTTATAGAAAAATATATAAACCACATAAAATAGAACTACAGTATATGGAACTGTTTTCTATAGTGCAATAAATATAGGTATTGCTAAAAAAAAAACACTTTAAGAAAATGAATAGAAAAAAGTGGATAAAAATGACAAGAAGTTTATTAACAAAAAATATATATTAAGAATACTAAAAATACAAGCCAGGAACGGTATGCAAGAAAATTACCAGCAAAGTACTAGTCCTTATTCTGGATTAGCCACAGGGACCGACTAGGATAGATGTGGATAGTTTGTAACAAAAACGATCTCTCTAGCTGTCGGCTGCTTTTGGTCACTTTGTCCTGAGGAAGTTCCCTGTGTGGACCGAAACGTCGATTTGTTTACTTGATGAAATAAAGAAAATATTTTGAATGGGAAGACCGTGAGTGCAGCTCAATTACTATTTGTGTGGATATCGAATTCTCCTTAGATGACTGGCACCCGGCAAGTAGAAACTGTTTTTGGCTGAAAATTATTTTTGGCTATCAATAATATTAAGCTTGAGTGCAAGGATATTCTGTTTTTTTAAGTATATATATATATATACACACACATATACTGTCTAAGTGTATTTTAATATTAATATATATAATTATATATATATATTAATATCAAAATACATGTAGAATGATATTGATTAAATAATGTGTATATATAATATAATAAAATGTAAATACTTTAAAAAATAAAATAAATAAAATATGTGTAATTTTGTTCTAACTGTATTTTAAAATTTGTGTATATATATATATATATATATATATATATATATATATATACATAAGTATATACGTATATATCACAATATATGAATATAAATACCTATACATAAATAAAAATAATTTAAAAAAATGATATACATATATACACACGTGTGTGTGTGTGTGTGTGTATATATATATATATATATATATATATATAATAATTCTACGTATATTTTATTTTATTCACATTTCACATTGAAATTTGCCAGATTGGTTACGTTGCCTTTGAGACAGTATGGTAGCCCAGGAATGAAAATTACCCCCATGATGGTATACCATTTGCAATAGTAAACAACCCAAGGTATTGTAAATGGGGTATGTCCAGTCTTTTTTAGTAGCCACTTAGTCTACACCAAAGTCAGTAACCAGAAATAAACGCTCAGGAACACACTCTCTGACAACCACTAAGGGAAACCATGACAGGGCAATGACGAGAAGTAAAATTGCATTTAAAAAAGCCTTTTACAAATCTGTTTGGCGGAAATCGGCCCATGACCCCAGAACGTGCGCATGCATCTCCCGCGTAACGTCATATGCACGCCGACGTTGTCATCTCCGTGGGCAGACGTGGGGTTAAAATTTGGTGAGCGCAAAAAAACAAAAAACTTTAAAAAAAAAACCTTTGTTTCTATGAAAACTACAGTATAAAAATGTTGCCCAACTGACGCTGGACGTCCTGGACGCTCGTAGGGTTTCAAAGTAAACAAAAGAGCAAATTTATTTTAAGGAGACGTGCATGTGCATATAACCAGTGTTTCAGTCCAACTGCCTTGACATATTAAGAAAAGTTTGGTAATGGGACTGAAATGGTGACTGTATGCTGTTGCACAGCTGTAAAAAACAAATTACGCTATCTTGTTAATTTGAAGTTCTATGAGTGTGTTCTTCCCTTTGGCTGAGATCATCAAACTTGATGATTTCAGCCAATCCAATGCATTCCCATAGGAAACCATTGGGAGGCTATTGTGCATGTGAGGCAAAAAGCTACGCAGCTAATTGGCATCTCTATGGGGAGCATTCATTGCCTCAGTGCAGAGCCAATCTAATACACTGTCCCCTCCCCCATTCCAATACACTTACCTACAAATCCAATACATTGCCCACAAATCTAATACACTGCCCCTTAATCTAATACATTGCCGGTCCTCCCTCTACTCTACTTGAATACACTGCCCTCCCCCAATTCAATGCACTGGTCTCCCCCCAATTTAACACACTGCCCCCCTCCCACCACTCTAATAAACCCACCCCCTACCACCCACAAATTAATACATTGCCCTCCCCCAAATGTAACACACTGCTCCCCGTCCACCACTCTAATACACTGCCCCAATCCCTCCCCAAATTTTATACACTTCCGGCCTCTGTACCCCAGATTAATACACTGCCCCCTCACCCCAATATAATACACTGGCCCACTCCCTCCCCCAATTTAATACACTGCCCCTCTCTCTAATTTAGCACACTACAGAGGAAGGTCACCTAAGCCCCTCTTCCCCTACCTTGAGATAAGCTGCCCATCTTCCATTTCCTGCTCTTCTCTGCTCAAGCAGGCCAGACGCTCCTCTGGAACTGGGAGCAGGTAGTGGCTGGCCTGCAGGAGCATGCGATCGGCTGTGGGAGTATCTTTCCTGTTTTGCAGCTGGTCGCAGCCACAACACAAAGTGGCCCCCAGGGCAAATATATCCATTGAAGGCTGCAAGTTTGACATGCTTGGTGTAAACTTACAAAACTTTTAAGCCAAAATAGATGTTTGTGTCTAAAATTGGGTTGTTGCTTGTGCTTGGTGGATATACTAATACTGTAGCCCATGGAGCAGCGCAGCTAAGGGGAATGGGCCTTGACAATGAAAGGAGACAGGCATAGGATAAGGGTATGTGTAGATTGGCTATGTGGATATTGGTGGTGGGCTTTGGGTAAAGGGAGTATATATAGGGTGCCATTTTAGATTAGGGGCCATCTTACTTAATCCTCACCTGTTGTTGTCCCACCCTCCCTCCCTTTGTTTAGAGGATAGCTCCAGCTTGGTCACGGCGGCGGGGGATAGAAAAGTTCACTAAGAACAGTTAAGTTTGGAATGGTATTGGTAGGTTGTGTGTAGGGTGTATCTTGGTATAACCCTACATTGTGAAAGGTGGAAATGCATGCCCTCTTTGGTAATGGTTTATGTTTATGTTCATTTATTTATATGTTGTAGTTGGTATCAATAATTATGTGGGTCATTGTCGGGGTAGTTATATTATAGGTATGGAGGGCAATAGTGTATTATGTATCCTGTTGACAATGACCTTATAAATTTACATGTTACTTTTTTTATTATTAAAGCTGTGATATTAATTTTCCCAATACAAGGTGTCTGAGTATTTTTGGGGGGTATGGGGTTAATTAAGCAAATGCCAAAAGGAGACTATGCATATGTCATGTAACCTATTGTTTTTGATTTCAAGAAAAACTAATCTAGATACTTGCACAGTGCACATGCACTAGCACAGCACAGACTGAACTAAACACACTCAGAAAAAAAAGGATTTTTAAAAAGTTTTAAAAATGACTTGCCATACTCTAAATTAATTAATCAGAGTTGGTGAAAGTGGCATTGGAAATAGTTAGACCCAGCATTAACCTAACCAGTCTCCCACTAGGATCAATTAATCAATTAAGCAGGTTATCGCCCACTAAAAGTTAGTGTAACTGGCAGTCTCTAGACACAGACAGTTTAACAAAAAAATGAAACAACTGTTAAAAAAATTGTTTTCTTTCTATAAACATTAAAAAAAAGACCTGCCACACTCTAAATCAGTGAATCAAAATAGGTTTAAATGGGACTAGCACTGGCAAGGCACAGCAGTAACATAACCAGTCTCACACTGTTCCCCCATTAAGGATGGAGGCAATAGTACAAGTTCTGATCAAAACAAAATGTAAAAAAAAACTAGAATTTTATCAATATGTCTGTTCACCTGTCATATTAAGTGCACGCACGATTATTATATATAATTGTGTTCAGGAGAAACAAGGCTTTCATTTCATATCAAATATTTTTATGTGAAACATTATTTAATATGAATAAAATGTAAAAACATTTGTGAAATTAAAAAATATTGCTATTTTCCAAGTTCTGTTTAATTTAACTGTGAGTGAATATATTGAATATATTGTGATGCCTTTTGGAGAGGCTTACATGCAAGCCTCTTGCCCACAGACTGGACCTGGTCGTGAGAAGAAATGAGTGCCACTCATGTCTTTACTGGTCCCAAGAGTACCTGGAAGGGGATTATGATGGTAGCAATTGAAATACAAACTATTCATTGTTACTTGATAACTCTGCAGCGCCCTCTGCTAGCTGAATGGAAGTGTGTTCAATTACATAATGCAGGTATACAAATGAAATGAGGGCAATCAAATATGTGGTTATATACATATATTGTTGCTTTTTATTGTGTTTCAAAAGTTTATTTCTTGGCAGAAAAGAGCTCCAGCGGAATAGGCAGGGGGGCGATACCTGCCTGGGCTGAAGTTTTAAGGGTCTTGGCAAGTGGCTAGGAATCAGACTGGGTGGAGGTAATCAGTTGGAGTAAAGGAGCTTTACCACATTTGGTGACAGTAGTGGGATGGATTCCTAGTGATTGAGGAATCACCCCCGGGACACCAGCGCATCTTCTGAGAGCCCAGTGTGCCTTCTGGAATTTGCTGAGATGGAGAGAGCTAGCACACAAGCAGCATCCCCATACAAGGAAGAGTTCCAGTGGAGGCTACATGCAGCTTTGTCCAGGCGTGGCAGAGAGAAAGCCTCCCAAGCCGAGAGCAGCACCTTCAGGAACAAGTGGATCTGCGGATGCTTTTCCTGGTAGAGCATCCCCTAGAGGAGTGGGTGATGGAACACAAGAGCCTGGTCTGGAAGGAACTGTGGCTGGACGATGCTTACTAGGCATTATGGTGCTATGTGGTCTGGCAATACCCGAGGATGGTTGAGGATAATGTGCCAGAGGGTGAGGAGTGTAATGGCTTGGTCTGTTGTGGGAGGCTTTTGAGGTGGATTTTGGAAGCCCTGAAGAAATTTGATTCAGCTACTTCTGTGATGATAAGGAAGGCCTGCTGGACCTCTCAGCAGCTACCGCACTGTGTGAGTGTCTGCATCCCCAGCGGCAGCTTGAGTTACCAGGAGCGGAGAGTGTCATCCTCCTCAATGGCAGCTGGAGTCACTGGGAGTGGAGAGTGTTGAACTCCCTCCCTAGCCCAGTTGGAGTCACTGGGAGAGGAGAGTGTTGGCATCCCTCCCCAACAGCAGTGTGCAACCCAGGGCAGAGAGGTAATTAGTCTTCTCAGCCAAGCGGCAGTGTGAATTCCAGGGAGGGGAGGTTAACTTCCTCATTCCACAGTAGCCGAATATGCACCAGGGAGAGAAGCTGAGTGCGCTTTTTCACCAGCAGCACCACAAACCAAGCTGAAGCACTGGCATCGGGACTGAGTTCGAATGACCTCTGTACCCAACTCACGGTTGATCCTGCAGGTGTGAGAGTGGTGGTGCTCACCCCCCCCCCACACACTTCCCTCCAGCTAAAGCAGTGGCGTCGGGACTGAGTGCCACTGGCCTCTGTTCCCATTTTCTAAAAGGTAAAGATATGTGTTTTGTACTGTTGAAGCAGACTTCGTTCTTCACCAGTGCAATACCAGAAAGCTGAGCAGTTGGCACAGATGCCCAACCCATTGTATTAGAGACACCTGGCATTCTGTATTCTCTTTTAATTGTTCATTTGCTAATGTTCTGTATATATTTATATGTTAAATATTTGTCACTACATGCTTAAGGACTAGTCCCCAAAGGTTAGTACTTGTCCAAAAATAAAAAAAAATTGTAAGTTACTTTTGGAACTATGTCCTTCTGTGTGTTTTTTTTTGGGGGGATACCAGTAACAGAGTCTTCAGATCTGTTTGCTGGCTGCACGATCCCTCTAGCCCGGGGCAAATAAAAAGAAATTGTCTTTAGGCCTCTAAAGACAACAGCTATAACATTGCAGTCAGAGGTGCATACATTCTTGGGAGGGAAATGCAGAGTTATAGGCCGAAGGGAGGTTACCTGCCTGGAAAGAGAAGGCTTCAGAGAGTCCCTAGTCAAGTGACTAGGACTGAAATATTACAGGGTTCCATCAAGCAGCTAGGAAGTAAACTGGACAGAGGTACAGTAGCTCCACCACAAATATATAAACAGTTGTGCTCAAAAGTTTAAACTTTTTTCATAGCCACTTAATCACAACCTGGCCAAAGTTAGCGTTTATATTTGTTTTTTGCATTTTTCATTGCATTTGGGTGCTGACACAAGGTAGGGGAGTCCAGAGCTAGAAACCAGAGTCTATACAGCACAGTTTTCTGAGCCAAAGAAGGAAATGACACACCTTTATTTCAGAGCTCGGAGGTGTGCAACATCTATATGTAGAGTAAATGTGACCGTCATGTAGGTGATAGTATAACTTTGTATTAATTAGTGGCTTGCATATTGCTAAATGGTAAAAACTTTGCCAAATGAGGGATATGTGAGGCCCTACTGAGTGCCAAGTGGCTCTGAGAGGATCTAGCTATGATTGGCCACTGGTCTGAGGCCACTGAACAATGTGTCGGAATGTTGGCCTCTCAGTGACAAGTAAGAGATTCAAAGAAGTGGCTGTGGCATGTGAGGCCCTATCTAAAAACTAGTGATGTAGGAGCAAGGTTCAAGCTATGAGTTAGACCATTGGACAAATACCTCTGAATGAGGATGGGTGTAGGCCTTGTGTGATTGAATTACAAATATACAATAATATTGTCCACACCAATACTCTTAACAGCCAGTTAAACTATCCCAAAGTGATGTAGGGGAATAGAAATGTAATGAATTGATAGAAAGTATGTTGGAATGTACATATCTTGCCCAACTAGTGTGTGGTTGAGAGTGAGAAAACAATATCATAGACAGGAATGTAAAGACATAATGGCAACATTAATGAAAATATGTCCAGTATGGTGTAAGTGCTTATTGAGGTAAGGGTATAAAGTACCTGTTTTGTGGTTAAGGATTAAAGCATTAACAACAGGATGATAAGTGGGGATAGTAGAAACCTAGATAATAATGGAACATATGATTATTGTGGCGAAAGTAACCTCGCTACTTGTACTTGTACTTGGAGGGGCCTGCTTGCCAGCCTCCTGCCACAGACTGTGGGCCCTACAGGGAATCCTGTAAAAGACTACCAAACTTGACAGACTGTTAGCATTGATTTCCCAGGAACTGTTTTGGGCATAGGACCATGTGCAAGTTCCTGAACTGATCTGGGTGATTTTTGGATATGTTGTTCACCCAGATTGGGGCTATCGGGCGATGTAACTTTTATAGGGTTTTATGTGTTTTTAAGATACTTTTTGGGGTTTCATAAAACTGGATGTTTTTCTGTGCTTGGAGATAATTGAGTTAGATTAGTACAGTTCCTGATTCAATTATCTCCCAAGCACAGAGGATGGATTCTATTGTTTGTGGATGTGTCTCACTGTATGACTCTGTTTTTATTGGTTTATTCACTTTGTGTCCCTGTGCCCAACAAGGTCTACCTGGGTGTTACCCTTGTTCGAAAACTTGCATAAAAGGCCAGTGTGCCTCCATTAAAATTCTGTTCCTTCTTACCCTCAACATAGAGTCTTATCTCATGTGTGGGGGAAATGGTTGTATCTATCCTGGGGATTGCTATATCGCTATACCTCCGAGGAATTATAATCACTAGCTCTTATAAGAGCTGTTCCTGCTTCGCTCTCTAGGAGTAGGAGAGGTCTGCTCACTGGAAGCTGGATCCCGGTCTTGGGTCTAGGGTGGGTGAAGAACGGCGAGACCCCAGCGCAGCTGCATCGCTGGAAGTGGGGTCTGCAGTGCTTATGCTGTCTGGTGGAGTGCTGGAATTCCTCGGTGAGCACTAGGAGCATTGATTGGCAGAGGCACTCGGTCGGAGTGCCAGGCAGTCCGTCACAATTATCAATATGGATATGAGATACTTATTAGTGCTCTGTCTAATTATGACTTTCCACTGTGAATACTTCCACAAAAAGGACCTGAAGTATGTATGAGAAAGATGGGATCATCTCTGCATATGGTTAAATGTGTAATTAGGGGTTCTTGGTTCTCAGGAGTGCAGAGAGAGTGTTGTAAAGGAAGGAATTGTGTGTGCCTAACACGGCTTAGATGAATAAATAGTCAACTGTAGTATAATAGGGTTGTAGTTGACAAGCTGAAAATGCTGAAAATGTATGTAATGTGTGGCAGAACGTATGGACTGCCCACAGAGGGCCATATGTAATGTATGGAGTGATGGTCTAATGATTGCCATGTGTAGAGGTATTGCAGCGGAAGGTCAATATTACCAAATGTAAGTCTCGAGCTGCCGGGTGTATAATATGGTGTATGTAAAGTAATGATTATGGCATTAACAATGTAGGTTAATTGTACCAAAGTTGTAGGAGTTGAGAAATGGACTATGAACTGCGTATGGACAGTAGTGATGCTCTGGTATTCAATCTGGTTTTATTGATTTTTTTTTTTTTTACACTGAGTGGTGTACTTAAATATAGTATAATAGGGCAATATATAACCCCTGAGCAACAGGAAGGCTAAGGTTAGGTTGTAGCTGTAAGCCCACCTAGGACTGTAGGAAGCTTATGTCAGTGAAGGCCTAGTGAGATCCGTATGTCAAGGTATAGAAGTAGAAGGACGAGAGAGCTCACTGCGATTCATGAGTAGCATGGTAGCCATTTTATGAGAATTAGCAGGTGTATGAAGTGATATGACATGGGTTGTTTAATGGTTGTTGAGCTGTGGAGCAGGTACAATTTACAGATAGTGATGCAAAATGGCAGACCTGCTCCATATCAGAACGTCTATGAGGTACGAATGGTAGGACAGTTAATGAGCGATAATAACGATGAGACATTTGAGTAACTTGGCACTGATCATGTGAGGTTGCCCAGTGTTGGCCATATGAAGCATATAATGTGGAAGGCCAAGTGAGGGCCTAATATAAATGTATATGTGGGATGTCACTTTTTTTTTCTATGACTTCTTTTGCATGAAAGGTTTTGACTTTTTTTGGCATTAAAGATTGCTTTTTTTGTTATATTCTCTACATGTATGCAGTTACCACTCTATTGATAAGTATATATATTGTTTTCACACTGTTTAGCAAACCCTACACTTTCTTATGACAGCGAAGGCTAAATGAGGGCCCAACATAACCATATGCAGGGTGGCCAAATGAAGGCCTATTGAGAAGTTCCAGGTGCACATTGATACACTTAAATGGGGTTTAATGAATGTTACAAATATTTGAGTAGACCGGTTGCAATTTAGCATGTTATTAGTGACACCCAAGTGGCAGACCTGGTTCGTGGCATGTCTTGATTTGAAGTGTTAAAATAACATAGCATGTGACGGCAGATAAGAACCATTCAGCCCATCTAGTCTGCCCAATACTTTAAATACTTGCATTAGTCTCTGGTCTTATCTTATAGTTAGGATAGCTTTATGCTTATCCCGCGCATGCTTAAACTCCTTTACTGTGTTAATCTGTACCACTTCAGCTGGAAGGCTATTCCATGCATCCACTACAATCTCAGTAAAGTAATACTTCCTGATATTTTTAAACCTCTGCCCCTCTAATTTAAGACTATGTCCTCTTGTTGTGGTAGTTTTTCTTCTTTTAAATATAGTCTCCTCCTTTACTGTGTTGATTCCCATTTATATATTTAAATGTTTCTATCATATCCCCCCTGTCTCGTCTTTCCTCCAAGCTATACATGTTAAGATCCTTTAACCTTTCCTGGTAAGTTTTATCCCGCAATCCATGAACCAGTTTAGTAGCCCTTCTCTGAACTCTCTCTAAAGTATCAATATCCTTCTTAAGATACGGTCTCCAGTACTGCGTACAATACTCCAAGTGAGGTCTCACCAGTGTTCTGTACAATGGCGTGAGCACTTCCCTCTTTCTACTGCTAATACCTCTCCTTATACAACCAAGCATTCTGCTAGCATTTCCTGCTGCTCTATTACATTGTCTGCCTACCTTTATGTCATCAGAAATAATCACCCCTAAAGCCCTTTCCTCAGATGTTGAGGTTAGGACTATCAAATATTCTGTACTCTGCCCATAGGCGTGTGCAGCCTATTGCATTAGGGTGTGCATATATATATACACATACACACATTATATATATATATATATATATATATATATATATATATACACACACATACATACACTGCTGTGTGTGTGTGTGTGCTGCATGAGGGTGGTTTGAGGGTGTTGTGTGTGTGCAAGGGTGCTGTGTGTGTGTAAGGGTGCTGTGTATGAGGGTGCTGTTAGTGTGATGTATGTGTGAGGGTGCTGTTTGTGTGCTGTGTGTGTGTGAGAGTGTTTGTGTTTGTGTGTGTGTGTGTGTGTGTGTGTGCATTTGTTAGGGTCGTGTGAGGGTGCTGTATGTGTGTGGGTGCTGTATGTGTGTGCTGTATGTGTGTGGGTGCTGTATGTGTGCTTTGTGTGTGTGGGGGGGCGTGCTGTGTGTCTGTGTGTAGGTGCTGTGTGTGTGGGTGTGTGTGCTGTATGTGTGTGTGTGTGTGAGTCTTCTATGAGCAACAGTGTCAAAAGCCTTACTGAAATCTAGGGAAGCAATGTCTACTGCACCACCCTGATCTATTATTTTAGTTACCCAATCAAAAAAATCATAAGATTGGTTTGGCATTATCTTCCTGATGTAAACCCATGTTGTCTCTGATCTTGAAATCCATGTATTTTTAAATGTTCAACAATCCTCTCCTTTAACATGGATTTCATTACTTTCCCCACTACTGAAGTAAGGCTTACTGGCCTATAGTAAGTCCTCCCTACTACCTTTCTTGTGAATGGTCACACCATTCGCTAACTTCCAATCTTCTGGGACTACTCCTGTTAACAATGATTTGTTAAATAAATCTGTTAATGGTTTGCTAGTACACCACTAAGCTCTTTTAATAACTTTGGGTGTATTCTATCCGGTCCCATTGACTTATTTGTCTTTACTTTTGACAGTTGAAATAAAACCTCTTCCTCTGTAAACTCACATGTAATAAATGGCAAATTTTTCCTTTTTCCCAACTGAGGTCCCTTTCCTTCATTTTCATTTGTAAATACTAATAACATACTTAGGTTCCATCAATATGGCTATATAACCATAAAACAGACATAATTATTGTTTAACATTGTTTTAAAGTACACTTGACCAGGCCTGTGCGGAGTCCAGGAAGGGTTAAAAACAATGTAAGTAGTGATGAACAGTGAAATAAGACAGATTATTAACAGGCTGTACCAACCATAAATGCTAACCCGTAAGTTAGACCTACCTGTCACGCCAGGATCGGTTACCACGGCATCCGGTACAGCACGGGTCCTCGCTTTACGTTTTTTTCCCTGTTATGTGGCAATTGAACAAGCCGTTCGCGGTTTCATTTCGTGCGGTATTCGGCTAATCAGTATATTAGTTAAAGGTTGTCATTTCGCATAAAACTGTTCCGTGTTGCAGTGAAACAAGTTATCCTTTCGGTTGTTTCGCCATTCGCTACTTATTTATGATATGCTTAAACACGCTTGTACGTTCGAATAAAATTTCATGCGTATAAACTGTTCGTTTCAGTTTCTGTTTCCCTTGCCATAGGGTTTCAGTTTTTCTTGCTAAATGTATTTCGCATAAATCCTTTCGTGGATTACATTCATCATTTCATGTATATACCATTCGGTTAACGATTTGCTTTGCTTAAATAGATATAGAATAATTCTATTACTGTTTAGAGTTATCAGTATTGTATTGGTTTCCATAACAAACCAGCTCACATATCTGTATGGATCATTTTGACTCCCACGCTTTCAGGGGTTTTCCATACTTATCCATTTCAGTCAAGTTGGTTCAGCCTACAATTACAGGCCTCATTTCTGTGTTTTAAACTACGACACAACATATACATAAGGATACAGTTTCCTTTTCCAAGTCATGAATTCTCGGGTTGAATCACACATACTGATCCAACCAATCATACGTCTATTACATTACAATAATATTATATACAACTTTACATCACTTCAAAGAATTGTTTTCATCCCTGCCCCTTTTGTTGTTGTCAATTATATATCAGCATAACGCATTTACATATAGGCCTCGGCCTCCTCCAGCTCATCCTCTTTTTCACTTGACACCCATCATACATCCCCCCCCCCCGTTTCTAGCCAGAATAATGGCATTAAAGATACGTCATCACTTGGGCTTTGTAACACATTTATATTGTCATGGTATATCACTACACTTCCTTTACCAATTAAAACTCCAATCCAGCCCTTAAAAAACACCGCTGGTACGGGCTACATAGTCTACATCATTCCCACACAGTCCACACTTACTATATTACCCTTTTTTTTTAACCCGTTTCAGGCTGTCCAGGTTTATATATATTTCACCACACAAATTCGATGTGAGATATTCATACTACCAGGTACGTACGCCTGCTCATATGGTATTCTGCCATACATTTCATTTCTCCCCTCTAGGTTAGAGTACTGGCAATAGGATCAAAGGCTCCCCAATAGCATTTGCCATCAGTTAGTGGTCCCGCCAGGCCTCAACGTTTCGGAGAACACCCATCGGGCCACACGTGAGCTAGTCGCCTCGCATGTCGCATAGAGAGGGCCTCACCTGTCACTCCCTTTCCCTGTTTTTCTGTGTTACAGTCACCGAGAGGCCTACAATCCTGCCACTATGACGAGTGGCCTCAAATCCCCTCACGCCAACGCATAGATAGAGCCTCTCAAGCCACTTGGCAACTTGTAGGGCCTCATCTGTCACCAAACAAGTGTAATGTTTCGCCATCCGGCTTAGCTAGCCTGCCAGTACGATCTTGGTGGTTTTCATACACTAATTGTTTTGTTTTTAGTATGTCTCAGGAGGGGGTAGAGGATTTCTTCCTGCCTAGCACTCCGGCTAGAGCTATCACTCCTACACAAGGAGGAGAGGTAACTAGTCCAGCATCAATCAGATCCTGGACGATCCTTCGTATAACTACGGAATTGAGGAGGCGGCAAATCCCCTACCCCGCTACAGCAAGGAAAGCAGAACTTTTCAAACTGCTAAGTACTTGGACTAACAACATGGATGCCGGGGAAGGACCTAGCCAATCCAACCCAGGAGACATACATTCCATGTTGTCATCACTCATGGCATCCATGAGCAAGGTCAACTCCAGGCTGAAGAAACTTGAGTCGGTCACCACGGCCCTTACTCTAGCAGGGCCACCCGCTGCTGCTTCACAAGCACCAGCCGACTTACTATTAGTTGCTCCAGCCATTACCCAGGTTGACCAGGAAGTTAGCCTTGCTGATATGATCCCTGAGCACATAAAAAGAGATATCCTGGAAGGTAAAGACGTCAACCTGGCTTCTCTGCTGATTGCCTCCCAGGATATTGTGGAGAATAAGACTTATGCTTATGATGATGTGTCTGTTGTTGTCAGATCTAGGTACGCCAGCCTAAACAGGAAACTGACTATTCCCGAGTTTGTACTGGCTTTTGGTATTTACCGGGATGTCATCTGTGCGGTCTATTCCAATAGACGAGAGGAGTTTGATCTTTATATGCACAAGCTGGTAGACCTGGGCAACAAATATGGTGGATCAGCCTTTTATGACTACCATAGGTCTTTTTATGCAAAAGTGTCTGGAGCCTTCTCCCAGTATGGAACAAGATCCAACTGGGGAAGGATTGATACCGTCATATTTTGCAGACACTTTGCAGGTCTAAGAACACCGGCTTGTGCATATTGCTCCACTACGGCACATACAACAAATTTCTGTCCCAACACGGCAGACGAACATGCCTCCACGCAAGGAGCTAGTTCCTCTGGTGTTCCAGAGAAATTGACCAGAGATAAACAGGGACGCCCAATCAAGTTTCTGCGCAAGTCCCAGATATGCAATAATTTCAATGTTGGGTCTTGTAATTAAAGCGGTTGCAGATTATTGCATATTTGTTTAAAATGTTTTAGGGCACATGCAAAAACCATGTGTCCAAAATAAAATGTACTGTAAGCCTTACGTAACGTCCATAGATATTTCGGTATTTACAGCATTTCTGTCACATCACCCGTCTAAACACTTGGTAGACTTTCTTATCTCTGGTTTAACAGAAGGCTTCCATGCGGGTATTCTACACATACTGTCCGGGATTCTGGAATGCCCTAATCTACAATCCGCACAACACAACCACACAGCTGTTGACACTCTCATAGTCCAAGAAGTTGCTGAGGGTTTCCTATTGGGGCCTTTCAAGGCTCCTCCGTTCAAAGAATGGCGCACTAATCCCATTGGTATTGTCACAGGGAAATCTTCCCTTAAACAGAGACTCATCATTGACCTATCTGCACCACAGTCATCGGCTAACCCCAGTCTTAATTCCCTCATACCCTCCGAAGAATTCTCCTTGCAATACACCACCATAGACCATGCCATTACAGCTATCATACAAGCATGGGTCGGAGCATGGCTTAGTAAGACCGATATTACTAATGCCTTTAAATTGCTGCCAATCCACCCACACTGTGGAACCTGCATGGCATCAAGTTGTCCGGGAACTACAATTTTTTCTCCAGTTTAACTTTTGGGTCCAAAAGTAGCCCAGCTATTTTCAACACATTTGCCGAAGCATTGTGCTGGTTACTATTGAACATAGCCAGATGCCCTACTGTATTACATTACCTGGATGATTTCTTACTGGTCGAGGAGAATACTTCCCCTCCCAGTAGCCTCAAAGCTACCACCAAGCTATTCGAGCAGCTAGGTGTCCCAATCTCCCTTAAGAAAACGGAGGGGCCAGACACGATTATCACATTCCTGGGTATTCAATTAGACTCAACCACAATGCAAGCAAGCCTGCCACACGACAAGATAGAGAACATTCTTACCTACATCAACCACTACCTTCAGCTCGGTACTTGCAACCGCAAAGAACTACAGTCCCTGCTGGGTTCACTAAATTTTGCCATGCGTATCATACCTCAAGGCCGCTCCTTCATTTCACGACTCTTGTATCTTTTTCCACTCTTCCTACACAACACACACAGGTTGTCCTTAGATACTCAAGCTACGGCAGACTTACGCGTGTGGAAGGAATTTTTAACCACTTGGAATGGTAAAAGTATGTTCCTCCCTCAATTGACTGACTCATCACCTACCATTTGGTCAGATGCGGCATCTACCACAGGTTTTGCAGCAATTTTTGGGAACAAATGGCTTTGGGGCAGCTGGCCTACAGCAGTTCAGGATTTTGAAGGTTTTTCCACTACCTCAGCTCTCTTTGAGATCTATCCCATCGTGGCGGGCGCCGTAACATGGGGTCATTTATGGACAAACATGCCAGTAAGTTGCTACTCAGATAACCAGGCAACCTGTCACATCATCAACAAAGGCGGTTCCAAATCCCTTACGGTCATGAGATTTCTGAGGAAACTCACTTGGTTGGAGGCCAGTCATAATTTCTTCCTGTATTGTTTCCATGTTCCAGGTATATGTAACACAGCTGCTGACAGTTTCTCGTTTAAAATTTCAGGCATTTCATCAAGCACTCCCGTCAGCTGCGCTCACAGCCACCTCTACTCCAACATGTCAACAACTAATACTGGACTAGACACCATCATGCATCATGGCAGGGCACTGTCCCAATTGGCACTGTCAAAAAAATACGCACAAAACATACAACAGGGCTTTTACATTATTCAAAAGATTCCTTTTGGAACATAACATCATGCAACCTTTTGTCATGACATCTTTTTTGGGTTTTGCTTCTTTTTGCCATTTTAAACTTAAAATGTCATACAACACCATCAAACTTTATCTCACAGGCATTCAACACCATATGCTAATCTTACAACCAAACAACACAAGTTTCATGGCATCTCACCAGATTAAGAGGCATTCAGAGGCATTCAGAGATCTGAACCCACACGTACATAACAGAGGCTACCCATAGACAACCATATCTTCAAAGCATTGTCTGACCTGCTTGATTTAAAACCTTCTGACACCAACACAAATTCTGTCATCAAAGCAGCAATATACATAGCTTTCTATGGATTCCTAAGACCTAGAGAATTACTACAACCAACGTGACACAAACTACTCCTATTCTCCTCTATTCCCACTTAACAAAACACATGGATCATTACATCCTGACTCTACCTCACTCCAAAACCAGTCAGCATGCACCAGTAAAAATAACATACTATCCCACGCACAACAGGTGGTGCCCTGTCAAGATTATTGATGCATACATACAGCACCATAATTTACTACCATCACAACCATTATTCCTATTACAAAGTTCGGTACTCACCACTACAACCTTCATGACCTACGTCAGGTCTTTACTCACTCAACTGAGCCTCAACGCAGCTAACTACTCAGGGCACTCCTTCCGCATAGGGGCAGCCTCCACAGCCTCCAGTGTCAACATTTCAGTTCATGTTATAAAAACACTGGGGCGCTGGAAATCATCCGCTTACTCACGGTACATACCGAACCCAGTACAAGAATTAAGATATGCTTTCAAAAACATGTCTGGTTAATATACGTATCTGTATTGGTTGTCTGTAATAAATTTGATTACTTAATTTTTGCCCTCTTCTTTCTCAGGCCTACCTCATCGTCGGTTCCGGCACATCACAACCGACTTGCTCTTTTTACTATCCTACATTTCATTATGGTATTTTACTCTGTACTATCATAAGCACCTAACACAAGTATTAAGGCAATTTGGCCTGTATTTGTGGGAGGTGCTTGGTATCCACTCCTAGCCTACTTAAGGCACACCCCTTGCCTTGCTCCTTACCATTCGAGGTCAGCGTTGAATGACCCTCCCACCACACCACTTTTTAGCATTATTTTCCTTTCTATTTCTTTTTCCTTGGTAAGCCCTCTTCTTTCTCAGGCCTACCTCATCGTTGGTTCCGGCACACCACAACCGACTTGCTCTTTTTAGTATCCTATATTTCATTATGGTATTTTACTCTGTACTATCATGAGCACCTAAGACAACTACATATATATATGTATTTAAATTCTATGTGTATACTTATGTAATTATTTATATAGATAGATAGAAAATGTCATTCTAAGTGTATTTCTTTACAAATAAATATATATATATATATATATATATATATTATCAAAATAAAGTTAGAATGAAATTACAAATGTGTATAAATAATTTATTTTATTTGTAAAAATTATTTTTTCTTTATTTTATTATTTTATAGATTTTTTATTGTAAGTATATGCATATATATGACTTATATATACGTGTAACTTCATTCTAAGTGTATTTTAATATTCATATATGTAATTATATTAATATTAAAATACACAAAGTATATATCAAAAAAGATAAGTTCGGCACTCTTCCTATTTATATAGACAAAATATAAGACTTCTGCCAGGGTGCAAACCCGCGTATATATAAAAAACAATTAAATAAAGGTGCACTCCTGGGCTTAATATCGTGCTTCTGATTTATTGTGCAAAAAAAAAAACGATCAACATTTCGACCTATTCAGGTCTTTCTCAAGATCAAAAATGCATACATAACAACAGTGTATATATATGAATAAGGGCAATATGACTTATCAATGTACGTGAAGTGAACTCCCCAGCGAGATTGAGAACCCCGAAGTGTGAGGAAAACGCGAGTAGCGTGACCACGTGGTGTTGCTATGGAAACCCGATAGGACGCCAGGCAACATTCTAAGGTAAACTGTGTAAGACAGTACAAGCAATGTGATCTGCTGGAACGGAGGAGAATGACAGAGGAAATAGGAAGCCTGTGAAAATGGATGAAACAAGTGTATTGCGTGAACATCATGCAGGGTGCTAAGTGAATAGTGAAAAAGTAAAATAAATAAAGTGTAACAAATATCCTGTGTCAGCCTCCTAATTCCAAAGGACGAATAATAGATACTTTTATCCCCATTGTGCTCAGGACTACCGAGAAAATGTTAAACAGATATAATACGTGCATAGCATACAATCTGTACAATATATACAATATATAGTGGGCAATAAATGATACACAGTGAGAAATACACAATCAAGAATAAAAATTGTAAACCGATGGTCAGAGTTGAGGATTAAATAACCCCTATTAAGGGAATATACCGTACATAAGTTTCCAAACCAGGAAGATTTTTGCAAAAAGAAAAAAAAAGTATCCAATACACTAGATACAAATAATATAATAATAGCCTAAAAAAACTATAGAATATGATGAGAGGGCATGTCTATGTACATCTCTGAAAAAAATACATTATTAACATGTATAAAAAAATAAATAAAAATGCAAAATAAACTAAATATATGTCAAAAAATAATTAATACAATTACTGGAGGGAGTGAGATGCTTAAACTATCCACTGTAGCCAGTATAGTTACTAGGCACTGGACTAAAGAAGGTTTGATAGAAAAATATGCTTTCAGTATCAGACTACATAAACCACAAAAAAATATACTCTACGTGGTAAAAACATAAATTTTACTGAGAAGATATTTATAAAATCATAGAAAAGACGATATTTTCATTTAAGCCTTTAGTCAAAATAATAGGTGAACCTGTGGCCCCAAATCTGATCTTACTGTCAAGTCCATTTTCCCAACGTATGCCAGTCCACATGGGCAGGAAATCAAGTAGATGACGTGATCTGTGGTGCAGGTGATATAATGCTTTAAAGCGTATCTTCTGCCACTATGTGGATGTACGAATGAGTTACCACCTATAATATGGCTGCAGGTCACACAGCCCCCACATTTGAAACAACCACTTCTACGTAATACCTTTGGTTTGTCGTAGCAGTGTGTGGGATCTCCTTTCACCAGTAAGTCACAAAGGTTTTTATTGCGCTTATAGCTGATAACGGGTTTTCCTTGAAATCTTATTGGAAGATTTTTATCAGACTGTAGGATGTCCCAATGTTTGTAGATTGAACTGCATACCTTTTGAGTATTTGTGTGGTATGTAAGTGGTACAAATATACGTTGCTTCTTGTGTTCAATGGCCTCTTCACGTTGACCTCCTGTATTAAAACATTCAATCGCTTTCTCTTTGGCGTTAGAAAGGATTTGTGGGTGATAGCCTCTTTCTAAAAATCTATTCCACATCTGTTGTAACTGCTCATCTCGGTTTTTAACATCGCTGTTACATCGCAAAACAGTGGGATATTGGAAGCGAGTCTTTAATGTGTTGGGGACGCAAGCTTGTTGCTTGCAGTAAAGTATTACGATCAGTTGTTTTGCGGTACAATTTGTAGCCAGTGAGGTTGTCCTTCCTGAATACTGTGACATCTAGGAATTGGATGGATTCATGATGTCACACAGTGGTGAGTTTAACGGGGAGTGGTGAACCATTTATTTGTTCTATCATCAGGTTCAACTCTTCGGGGGTTCCCTTTCATACCATGAACACGTCGTCGACAAAGCGAAGATATTTGAGGATATTATGTTGGTATCTGGCAAGAATATAAAGGCATTGGCGTATGAGGGAGCCATAGCTGCCCCCATCACTGTTTGAGGTTTGCAGGTAGAATGTATCCTCAAATTTTAAATAATTGCAAGTAAGAGAGAGAGAGACAAAAATTCCAATAGGTGGACCCTTGTAGAGATGAGTAGTTCTAAGGATCTCATGTACTGCTTGAATGCCTTTGTGATGAGGGATTATAGTGTACAGACTCTGTGCATCAAGGATCACCAGTAAGATGTCTTCTCCTTCCAAAGTCAAAGGCCGAATATTGGGTGTCTCTTAGACAAGTAGGTAGATTCTGTACTACCTTGTTTATATATAAATCAACATATTTGGCAATAGATTCCATCAGACCGTCCCTCACCGATACTATCGGTCTTCCTAGCAGGTCGTGTAAGTCCTTATGGATCTTAGGTAAGGTGTATAAGATGGGATGTGTAGGATGATTTATGAATAGACTTTTTGCCACGTAGTTGTCTAGGTATCCAGCTGTCAGCATGAATTCAATATGATTAGAGATCCTTTTTTTGTTGTCAGAAAGGTATGATGAAAGAGTATTTAACATTTCATTATAATTAAATTCTACCATATTACCAATATCTAATTTGATCTTAATTCCTAAATAAGCTATATTTATGGGGTTTTTCCAAATAAAGTTATATTTAGTTTTTAGAATATCTGTATTATCTTTAGTAATAGATTTAAGTAATATTTGAGATTTTTGAATATTAATTTTGTAATTTGGAAATGTGCTAAGTTCTTTAATTGAAGAAATGAGTGCCTCAATCGACTCAACAGTGTTTGTCAGGGACAGAAACACGTCATCGGCATATAGTGTTATTTTGCAAATCCGATTTCCTATTTGGATTCCCTTAATTTTTGTGTTTTGTAGAATTAGAATGCCTAGTGGTTCGATGGAGAGTTTATGAAATAAGAGTGCCAGAAGACAGCCTTGACGGGTTCCATTCTAAATATTAATCCACTCTGATTCGAATAGTGGACCCGTTACATTAGCTTTGGGATTGGAGTATAGCACCATGATATTATCCTTAATCCAACCTATCAATCAAAAACTTTCCTGGTCAGAATCTAAATTTCTTCACCTAACTCTATCAAAACCCTTTTCGGCATCGAGAGACCAGTTTTGGTTAGTTCTGTTTTATGAATAATATTTATTCTTTTGTGAGTATTATCTATTGGCTTTATGTCCAAGACAAACCCTGATTGATCTTTATAAACAAATTGTGGAATAATTAATTTGAGTCGATTGGTTAGGATCTTTGAAAATATCTTTACATCAATATTTATTAACGAAACAGGTCTATAATTCGAAATAGATGTAAGATCTTTACCGGGTTTCAAAATTGGTGATATAGTGGCCAGTAGAATCTCACTTGGGATACCGTTAGTTGTTGGGCCTGACTCGCAAGCTGGTTGGACGTGTCTTGTGGGAGCTCTGACTTTTGGCTTCCTAAACAAGCCTAAATCCCCTCCACTGGGTACAGACCATGCGTAACTGTCTCGCAAGCTCAGGGACTTGCAGTGTCCTCTGGTAATCTGCAGCAGCGCTCTGATTTTCCCGAGCTAGGAAGACAGCTACTTATGGTCTGAGCCAACAGAAGTGCTGGCCAGAAGTGCCAGACTGCCTCACCTACATTACTGAGGAGCAGACTAAATATGTCACATAATACTCTGAGTGGTTTTGTTTTGGAGCTCTGGATTATATTAATTTACAATGATCTCATAGGAATAAAAATTTGTAGTAATGCGCTGCTTCTTCATTTATCACAGAGCTCCACAACAATAAAACTCCCAGTAATGTGGAGCTCTGTGACAAGATCATACACTACACAACAATACAACTCTAAGTAATGTGTCTATTAGTGTATCACCAAGCTCCCTAAAAATAAAACACAGAGTAATGTGCATTTTATATATCAGAGCTCCACTGTAATACATCTCACTATAATATGATGTCATGTTTGTGTTGTTTGTGTAGGTGTGATGACTGGGTTGTGATATGTATGCTATGTATTGGCTGTGTGTGATATTTGTAATGGGTGTATTAACTGTGTGTGATATGCGTGTATTGCTTGTATGTGATATTTGTGCTGGGTTTATTGGCTGTGTGTGATGGGTATTTAATTCAGATAAAAATATGCATATGTGTATATTTTTGCCAAGTTATGTGCACACAGTCCCACATTCAGATGCACACAGTTATACATATACAATGTCAAATCCACCACATGCACACAGTCACAGGCAGATAGTCACATACACAGGATCAGGCAGAAACAAACAGGTACAGGCCGTCACACACATACACAGTTACAGGCAGACAGTCACACACATAGGTACAGACAGATCGTAACATATATACAGCCATACATTCAGTCTTACACACACACACATGCAGACAGTCACAAACACAGGCAGACAGCCACACACATACACACAAGCTGTGAATTAAAATTTATTAGACTTACTATCGACAGCGCTCCACCATAATATATGCCATAGGAGAGAAATTCATTAAAACCTGGGCATATATTATCTTTTACTTTCATATCTATCACAAGGGGATGAGGAAGACTCCCCCCTGGAGTGTGAAGCGGCTATTACATATCTGTATCTAATAATTGAAGCGCACTACTCACAGTTTTTTGTTCACATTTCTATTTTTTATTCTCCTTCACAGTGTGTGCTGCTACATTTAAATATGGCTGTATCTACAAATAGAAGTAATTGTGGTAAAAATATCGATGAACTATTTGATCAAAGGGTAGCTTACAATACTAATGATGTCAATAATATGGACATCAAGCAACATCAACGAAATTTAGAGAGATTATTGGGGAGAGAATTAAAAATTAAATGGGAAGTTGAAACCATGGAGAAATATCTCAAAGAGAAAATTACCCCTAGAGGTCCTAGATTTACTGAAACCCCATCATTTGATCAGGAGAAAGAAGATTTTGTCCAAGAAATTTCTTATTCGGCCTTACGGGTCTAATCGTCAGAAGACGTGGTAATACTCTCAAGAAATTAGATCGAGAGATCAACAATATCCAGAAATTTCTGATTGAGAACATGCAACCAGATGAGCATTCACAGATGACTGAAGATTTCCAAATAAATTTAGAGAGAATGGAAAAAGGGGTGGTGGAGATTTAAAAAAGGAAATATCAAAGAAAGTAAGATCTTATTCCAATAAATATAAAGGATTTACTCCACCACGTGTAAATACTAGACAACATAACTTTAGTCAACCACCAAAATATTTTTTCCCGAGGAGAAGGGGCCATTACAGAAATAAGAGTAATACAAGGACAACAAATAACCAACAAAAAATAGTCATTGAGACTTCTGAATGATACTAAAACATACAAAAGACTCACCAAAGACCCCACTCAAGAAATAAAACAGATCTATGTAGGACAGATTGAAAAGGTAATAGAAATAGGTATTCTTAATAAAAAGGAAATTACATTCTTAAATATGTCTCACCCTAGGATTCCTGTTTTTTTACCATCTCCTGAAAATGCACAAAAATAGAGAGAATCCCCCAGGAAGGCCTATAGTCTCTGGGATTGGGTCAATCTCGAGTAGATTGTACCAATACATAGACAAGTGCTTACAACCGATGGTCCAGAAATGTCCAATTTTTAGACTTGACACTCACCCCTCAAACGTCATGTAAATGCCTGATCTGTAAATTTGTATATATTCTGGATTGTGTTGCTTCTTACCACAAAGTTTACATTGTAATTAACACAGTTTGTTTGCATGACCATAATAACCACTGGGGATTTTCTCAGATGCACTGCATATAGTTTTCCATCACTAAGAGTGGTTTTCCCTCACTCACTGTCCATTATCCAACCGTTTTTTATTTTGCAGTTTTCAACCCTAGTGAGATTATGGGCTACTATCATGTTGTATCTCATGTTTTTCACAATCCTCCATATGCTTCTTTTATAAATCCTTTTAATACACCTCTTTCACTCCTATATTACACTGCACACCGATCTAGTTAATTACTCGGTTGCTTAGCAATGGCAACATTCAAACATACACGCCTACACATCACATGGGTTGCTGGTTTACTTCCGGATCTGAATGCTTTCAGGTTCTTGAGACACTGCTGTTTGGTAAATTGAATTAATTTATCCTTATATATTTGTGTATGTAGACTTGCTTGTTGATTTTGAAAAAGGCCCGCCAGCGTCAAAATGTCAATCAGGAGACAGGGATTGTTTGAATAAACACGTTGGATAAAGACCTATGAGTGCACCTCTTTTCTGTGATTTATATTTATTTATCTATATGAGAATATCATTTACTACTTTACATAGGACACACGGTCACACATTTAGACTGGAAGAAATGAGATTTAGTCTAAGGCAAAGGAAATGTTTTTTTACAGTAAGAAAAGTAGAGGTGATTTTATCAGAATCTATACAGATATTTAAACAGCAATTGGATAAATACTTGCATAAACATAAAATGCAGGGATATACTTTTTAATTAAGGGGTGGGGATAGCTTCTTTAACCATGGAGATATGTGTCTGCCATTCTAGGGTCAAGAAGGATTTTTTCCTAGTTTGTTGCAAAATTGGATGCACTTCAGACTGTTTTTTTTTTTTTTTGCCTTCTTTTGGATCAACAGAAAAAACAAATGTTAGGCTGAAAGTGATGGACACATGTCTCTTTTCAGCAATGTAACTGTGTGCTGTTACCTTTTAAAATCATACTAGTTATCACTCCAAGATAGGGTATCACTCACAGTATAAATGATGGGTACAATAATATCCACATTAGCACAACCAAGGGGGGAGGTGGGGTAAACAATGTAACCTCTCAAATGCATTAAAAACTGAAAAATTGGAAACACAAACTCACAAATAATGAGCAAATATGTACTCCTCAAATCGTATAAGCTCCAATCAGTGATCTCCAGCAGCTTAAATGAAAGCAGCTCCCAGGAGCATATCATGTCAAATTGCTGTGTCCAAACCACAGCGTAGGAGACTTGTTCACTTTATAAGATAGACATAACATAACACTAAGAACAATACATCTTAGCTTTAGCCCTTTTTAGAAGCATGTTAATTTTGCCAAAAGGAACCATATCCCTTGCCATGAGGTCTTTGGCGTCCAGGGGATCAATATTTAGGATGATATACACAATAAATTAATATATTTGTGTATACTTTTTACATCTTAATTTAATAATAATGCTATAACCAATTTATGACACTGATAAAATAATGTTACTACAGGTGAATCATGGTGACTTAAGAATATAATGATTGGAATACACCTTTAAAATTACATTAGCTCTTTTGAATGATGATAATTCATAACACGAAGTACACTGTGTTCTGAAATTGTTTTCTTATTTCGCTATAACTATTTATCAGCCAGGTTATGCTCTATTGAGTTAAATACAATGTTCGCTATGGTGACCGGGCCATGGAGTTCTGCTTATCAAAGGGGGCTCAGACCGGATGGCCCCTCTTCGCAAAATCAATTATTTATTATATTAATGTTATTTTCTAAATGTTAGTTAATTACTAAAGCTTGGTAAGCACTTCCTTGCAGTTCCAGCACTCAGTGAGTCAGAGGGCTGTCAATGGGTTGTCATGGCATTGTTATGATTCATTAAAAAAGCCCTGACTGGAAGAAGCATGCACTGTGGTCTGAACCCACCGAAGACCACACACTCCTCCATTGGACCCCCACAGTTTCTGCCAGCAGCACCCAAGATTCTACCACCACTTACTGAAGCAAATGGTAGCTTTAATGTCTGCTTGTCAATACAAGAATCTTGTATAATAAAACAAGAGAGCTTGAAATATTATCATACATGGAGCAATATGACATCACTGGTATTACTGAGACTTTATGGGATGAAACACTCTATTGGGCTATTAATTTAAATAAACATAAATTATTTAGGAAGTATTGAAAAAAATAGGTGAGGGGACTTTATGTCTTTATAATAAACATGATTGGAAGCCAATTGTATGTGATGATACAGGTAAGGTTATGGAAGTCTTATGGGTAAAGATTTGCATAGTAGAAACATGTTACAAGCCCCCATACATTCATATTGATAGGGAAGAGCAACTGCTATCTCCAGTTAATAAGGCTGACTTCTGGGTGATTTGTTAATCACAGGAGATTTTAATTATTCAGACACTGATTGTGCCAGAGGGACTACTGGTACAGTTAAAGAAAATGAGTTTTTGAACCTAATACATTACACTATCATGTCTCAATTAGTAGAAGCGCCAGCTAGAATACATACTTGTCTGGATCTTGTCATAACTCATACAGTTTACCTGTTTTCAAACATTCACGTAAGGGAGCACTTGGGAAATAGTGAACATAATATGGTGTCATTTGAGATAAACTCAAAACAATTTCCATAGGCTGTATATAAATGTTTAATTTTAAAAAGGCTCATTTAAATAGGATAAGGGCATCTTTTACGACAAGTTATTCACTGGCAACAGCACAGAGGATTAACGGAAGGTCTAAAATAATATCAAAGAATATGTACATATTGTATCTACAAAATAACAACATTGCTGCAACATTGATTTGATACATTCTAAATACAAGAATGTCCTCAGAAAAGATGTCATGTACAATAATAATTTATCTTTATTGTTAAAATGCTGTTGAAATACTATGCCTTTACACTTATCTTTTTTTGAAAGAAACAATGTATGTAAAAAATAAAAAATCTTCACTAAAGATTATACATTAAAAAAACAAATATAAAACGTAAATTAAAATCAACACGGCTTAGTAAAAGGGTCAGTCAAATAAAAGATAAGAAAATGGCATTCAAAAAATTTACATTAGAGGGGTCAACAGCAATCTATAACAAATGCAAGCATGCCAAAAGTGCTTTCAAATCGGATATTAGCTGGGTTAAGGTCAACCCCCAAAAGTATTTTTTAGGTAAGTTAATATCAAAAAGGTTAATCAAGAAGGATCAAGGACCTCATAGGAATATAATACTATAGCTCTGTATACTGAGAGAGACACTGTTCTGCACTATATACTGAGTGACAAACCGATCTGCACAATGAATCTCTCTGTGTAGTGACACACTATTCTGCACAATGAATCCCTTTCTATACTGAGTGGCACCTTGAATCTAGCTAAACACTGAGTGACACCCACACTGCTCTGCACAGTAAAATACTCTATATACTGAATATATACACACTGCTCTGCACAGTGAAATACTCTATATGCTAAGTATATGCACACTGCTCTGCACAGTGAAATATGCTATATACTAAATGACACTGCTCTGTGCAGTGAAATACTCTATATACTGAATGACACTGCTCTGCACACTTAAATACTATATATACTAAATGACACACTGCTCTGTGCAGTGAATCTCTCTGTATACTTAGTGACACACTATTCTGCACAGGGAATCCATCTATAGACTGACTGACACACACTCTGCTCTGCACAGTAAATCCTTCTATATACTAAATTGCACACTGCTCTGCACAGTGAATCCTTCTATTCACTGACTGTCACACTGCTCTGCACACTGAATACCACTGTACACTGAGTGACACCCACAATGAATCCCTTTCTATACTGAGTGGCACATTGAATCTAGCTAAACACTGAGTGACACCCACACTGCTCTGCACAGTGAATTTCTTTATATATGGAGTGACACACTGCACAGTGAATCCTGAGTGACTAGAATAAAATACTACATAGAAGCACATAATATTAAAGATCAATAAACAATATAATAATAATTCAAAAATCTGAAACACCAGATAGTAAATACAAGAAATTAGTTTTTTAATAAATAGGTCATCATAATACGTATCAATATTACATCTGCCAAACAAAAGACAGTGTACTTAATGAAAAATACAATAGCAAAAATCAGGATTACATACCAGAAGCAATGCACAGACAATGGTACAATGTTATGAGAGAGAAAATTGATACCAAAAGATAACAATAATCCCCTCCCTCAACTTTTCAGCCAAAATGCCTTTCTCAATAGTGAATATCCCAACTCATAACATAATACCTATATATAGGGAAATAATAATAAAACAAATAGTCACACCTGAGGGAGAGGGAGGTCACCCACTGCTTAAAGGAGACACGCCAATCCAGATAGTTTAGCTGTGATTGGTGTGAATCCACAATAGAACTAACCAAATCAGAATATATTCCCTATAGATTCCTATATAAATTACCATTACCTGATCCGGGGTCATAGAGGATCGCGGCACTAGATGCAGAATATAATTGTGTTAGTGCCATAATGGAAATGAGGTTCGAAACTCCGAATGTGGTTCAGCCATTAGTGGTAACTGGAGCAATTTGTGCTGTGTGGGTATCGCTGTATTTCAGCTTTGTGTAAGTGATCACAGTGAGCCTGGCTCTGTGGGATAGTTATGTGTATCTTCTTAATGTGCCCAGCTCTGTGTGTTATTTCTCTGTATTTTACCTGTTCTATGGGTAACTCTGTAGTGCCCAGTTCGGTGTTCTTATGGATATCTTTGTGTTGTGCTTAGTTCTGTGTATTGCATTGGTATCTCTTTATACTACTGGGTTCTTTGTAATTATATGGGTATCTATCTGTATTGTACTTGGCTCTCTGTATGGTTTGGGTATCTCCGTATCATACTCAGTTTTGTTTATTGTATAGGTATCTCTCTATTGTTCATAGCTTTGAGAATTGTATGATTATCGTATATATATTATAACCATCTCTTAGTATTGTTTGGGTAATTCTATATATGTTACCATAAGTGTTAAGTACAGGTGCCACAGATCAGAAAATAATGGCTACAGAGCTAAAGATTGGGGTAAAATTCTAGGGGAGGAGTATGACCACTGATGATGATGTCCTCTGTCGTGCGCTGTCTGGGCACTTTTGCAAGGCAAGAATTGCTCTGTTATCATGCCATCAAGAATTGTTCTCTTAGTACTATAAATACTATATCTGCCTGCCTTGACTAGCAGAAATTATTTGGTTGGTACATGCACATGCTCGACACTTGTCTGTCCTATCCCATTTACTCTCTGTCATCTACCCACCCACTCAGTCCTTCTCTTTACCACCCTTCATCCCAATTCCCTCTCCCTGACACCCACATCCCCAGTTTCTTCTCTCTGCCACACACCTACCCATATCATACCATTCTAAACTGTTCTGTCCCAAGCGGAAAGCTGATCATGGATTTATGACCAGTAAACAATTAATGATCTGAATCCTGTGCAGATCTGACACCCACATTATCCCCGCCTGTTAGAAGTATCCACACTCACAAATGGTGCGGCCCATAGGTGTCCTGCTGGCCCCTGGGATGTAGGAAGGCTCTGAGCTTGCTTGTAGATCTGGCTGGTATGTGAGCGGGTTATGCTTCTGACAGTGAGGGGTCAGTATACTGCGTGTGCATATATGTGTAAAAGTATGTGTTTGTATATGTATAAGAGTATGTGTGTATGTAGATATATGTGGAAAGTGGGGACAATAAGCCGAGTTATAGTAGTAGTGGCATAAGTCAGTTGTGGTATGTGGGAACCGACGTTTAGGTGGTCCTGTAAAAAGAGGGCCAGCCAAATTGAATTGTTTGATAAAGGGAGCGGTGGGTGGGCTGAACCAGGCAGCAACAGCACAAAGGAAGGGAATGCCTGTATATTTATAGGCAAACTATCCCCTCCCACAATTCCAGGCTTCACCCACAGGCTCAGCCTTCTATTGTATATGTAAAGTATGTGTATATATATATATATGCATGTGTGTGTGTGTGTGTATCTACCAAGAAGAGACACACTCAAGGATTTGTATTGAAAATAAAGTACTTGCTGTTTATTCAGCTAGTGCTTAATACAATTAAAATTTCCATCTCAGTGAGAGACTTTTATCAAGACACCATATACATGGTGTACAACCTGCAAGAATTAGGGGCCTCATAGACAACTATTACAAAAGACTGCACACTGTCAGTGATGCTAAAGGGGGCAATACACAATATTAAGAACTAAGGGTATGCAGACTTTGAACAGAGGTCATTCCATGTTTTTCTTTGTTGCCATGTTTTGTTTTATGATTGTGCCATTCTGTTATAACCTACAGTTGAATATGAATCCCATAAGAAATAAAAGAAATGTGTTTTGCCTGCTCACTCATGTTTTCTTTACAAATGGTAGATATATTACCAATTCTCCAAGGCTATGCAAACTTTTGAGCACAGCTGTATATGGTGGGTGGATAATCAAACTTTAATTTGTCTTTTTGTGTCATATGGCGGGGACTGTTCTCTTATTAAATATGCTATACTAATATAGCCTTCTAAAGCTCCAAGGGCAATGTTGCAATGTTGTTAATTAATAAGTTCACATAAGTCTAATTTTGTTCCTTAGTTTTTGAAAGATAGATATACTCCTTGCTTACTGTTAAAAGATACATGCATATTGAATTCTATCACTTTGCACAACTTTGTATCAAACCAAACTTATCTTATTTATTTATTAATTTATAAAAATATTTTACCAGTAAAGGATACATTGAGATTTCTCTCGTTTACATGGGAATGTCCTGGGTCCCCAAAACATAGCATTGTTACAATAGGGTACAATATTACAAAAATAAAATAAATACAATATACAAATACAATATATATTGTTTGTGTGTGTGTATATATATATATATATATATATATATATTGCTTGTATATTGTATTTTTTTTAATATTGTACCCTATTGTAACAATGCAATTTTGCATTTATTTATCTATATTGCATTTATTTAATTATTATTTATTTTGTTGTAATATATATACATAAACACATATATAAATTAAATACATAATAGGTAATAAATATAGTCATGACAAGTGCATTCTGTAATGAGGTATATTGCCATAGATCTCTTTAAAGATTTTAGATTGTATGAAGATTTGACTGTATCCCTGAGGTTATTCCATAATTGCGGTGCTTTGTAGGAAAAGGAGGAATCAAGCCACTTTATTTTTTAATTGCGGTATGCTTAATATCGTGCTGGTAGTGGATCGGAGGTTATAGGAGGTGGAAACAGCTGAGGAGAGCATTCTGCTCAGGTAGGGTGGGAGCTTTGATGGAGCAATATGCTACTTACTTGTATAATAAAATATCATGTTGAAATGCATTGATATTTCTGGCCACACATTATTACAATGAGTATGTTATAGAGGTTTCTTATGGTGTGTTTTATACTGACCTCATACAGCCATCAGCATGGTTTTGCTAATTTGCATTTTTGGAATTGTTATATAATTGAGTTGTTTACATGTGTATGATGTATTGTTAAAAGTCTCTCACTGAGACTGAAACATCAGTTATATTATGCACTAGCTGAATAAACAGCAAATACATTTTTTTTCACTGCTAATACTTGAGTGAGCCTTTTTAGGTAGATGAGTATGCTGTTGGAGGTTTTTTTGCACCAATGTATTACTGAAGGTTTTTTCCACCATGTGTTACTTTAAGAGGAGTGCATAGCAGAGACAGAGAGAGGGAGTGAGTGTGAGTGTGTATGTATATATGTGTAAAAAGTTTGTGTGCATATACATGTGTGTGTGTGTATATATATATATATATATATATATATATATATAGTGTAGATTGGGTTTGCTGTATTGGTCAAGTAGACAAGATGCCAAAATATCAGAGTATTGAAGTATGCAATGATACCTTTTTATTAGATTAACATTATACTTAAAAGACAAGCTTTCAATAGTTTTCCTCTCTTCCTCAGATCAGTATTACTCAAAAGCATGTCTTTTAAGTATTATGTTAGTCCAATTAAAGAAGGTATCATTGCATACTTTATATATATATATATATATATATATATATATATATATATATATATATATACACACACACACATAACCAATTGTTTTTCCTCTTTTGTACGCAGAGGTTCCGTGTAAAACTTCTATGCAATACAATTGTATATATTGTGCTAAGATTTTGCTGTAGTTGCAAAAATAATCTTACCTTGCATCAGAAAGATATAAGAAGGCTGTCATGAAGATAACGTGCCTCAATAGAGGAGGACCAAGAATATACATTCTCACTTTTTAGCAGAGACTGTTAGAAGATGCTTCGTGATTTTCAGATTTTAGGATTAGAACAAATTATTCCACTTCCAATTCATCTTAAATAGTTCTATATTGTGCTCCACCCACAGACACATGAGATGACAGTTATAGAAACCAGTTATTATATGCTGGGGAAAACCCGTCAATAGAGCTTCCTTTTTAAACAAAAGGCTATCACTTGAACTTAGATACCGTTCTTTAAACAAATCAACAAAACTGAATACTTCTAATAGGCAGTAAACCTGTAAGTTGCCCATGTTTTTATTATACTAGTAAAAGCAATTTGTTTTACCTGATAGGGAGAAATCTAGCCACTAAGCAACCAGACTTGGAGAACAAACAAGCATTTAAATAACCAAGAATAAAGAATGAAGAAAGAATATATAGGTTCAGCTCGCGTCATTAGAGTCCATAAGTCGTTTTTTTTGTTGTTGTTTTCTTTTTATACATTGGGTGCTCCATTGGTAGCCATAAGAAGCCACTAATTTACATTGAGGTTTCACCAGCTCACTCATTTTACTGACGAAAATGCTATTCCTTGTGATACCAGGTGCCAAGTTATGGCACAGGATAGGAGACTTGCCCATCAGAGTACTGTGACTGTTTGACTTGCAACCTAACCAATCAGAGGGCTCTTACTGAGTATTTAGTAAGGCAGAAAACATTTTTGTAGAAAAATCTCCCGTCTTGATCACCCAGTCTGCAAAAGCCCTCTAACTAATTGGGTTGGAGGATGAATATGGGTCTATTTCTTATTTTTGTTAAAAAAAAAAAAACATCATATTTTTCCATTGTAATGGGCCGCTTTTTTATATTGTAGTATCAAGTGTTTATGGGTTTTGGGGGCATTTTGATTGAAGGAAGAAATAAAAGTATGTGAGTTAATCTCCGAAGAGCGGACATTAAGTTGTTAAAGTAGGACCTGCCAAAGATGGGATACATTGATGTTGTGGCAGGCTTATGCAATATATGATCATATAATGTAACTAAACCCCTATTATTTTTGCATACATTAGGTGTTTTTAAAAAACTAATAAAATCTGTCAGCTTTGAAGTTGCTGTTTAGTGGATTAGTGAGTGCGCTGGATCTTGTGTAATATATATATATATATATATATATATATATATATATATATACTAGTATAAATTAAACTATGATTAACTAAAATATATTTATCTCTAAATCAAAGTTGGTTTAAGTGGCAAGGCTCCACTAGCATGGACCAAGCACAGCAGTAAACTAGAATACAATAAAATAGTGAAAGGTAGATATACCTTTAATGGAAAATAACAACTAAAACAATGAATGAATACTTTCCCTAAAATATAAGTAAATAAACAGAGAATATTCCTATAGATAAAAAGTAGATATACCTTTAATGGAAAATAACAAATAAAACAATGAATGAATACTTTCCCTAAAATATAGATATAACCTCTTAGCTGGGGTATAAAACACACTAATGTATCTATTGCCTACAAAAATAGTAATGTAAACTTCCCAAAATGGAACAAACTGCAGCAGTTTCAATTAATACAGAAGAAGCATGTTACAGCCCAAAATGGAAAGTTTAACGAGAGCACAGAAAGGGTCGAACAACTAAATGTTGCAAATCTCTGTTCAATCTTCTGGTAAAAAGTTGATGATATGTAACAATAATAGTAAACAATAACAAACACTGCATGTGTACCCCTCTCAGAGTGGAAAATATATACAAATTAAATGTAGAGAAAAAATATACTTTTAAAAAATATGTAAAAAATTAGCACCGAACATAAAGGGTTAATATCAAAAGAACCCCATTGGTATACCAAATCAGAAATATGTTATTCCTGTGGGCCCTATCCTCCAGGTCTGTGACCTTTGTGTCCAGCAGTTGTAGTTGTGTGGAGAAGTTGGTATAGGCATTAACCAGTGTGTTATGTGCCTCTATTATCTCCTCTGTTTTGTCTTCTAAGTGAGCTGTACGTTCTCCTATAGCCTGCACTTCCCGCCTAATATCAGCCGCTAATTTTTGGAAGTCAGACCTGATGGTGGTCTTTAAAGGACCACTATAGGCACACAGACCACTTCAGCTTAATGAAGTGGTCTGGGTGCCAGGTCCAGCTAGGGTTAACCCTTTTTTCTATAAACATAGCAGTTTCAGAGAAACTGCTATGTTTATATTAGGGTTAATCCAGCCTCTAGTGGCTGTCTCATTGACAGCCGCTAGAGACGCTTGCGTGCTTCTCACTGTGATTGCTTTCCTATGAGACTGGCTGAATGCACGCGCGGCTCTTGCCGTGCATGCGCATTCAGCCGAGGAGGCGGAGAGGAGGAGGAGAGCTCCCCGTCCGGTGCTGGAGAAAGTGGTAAGTTTAACCCCTTCTTCACCCTAGAGCCCGGCGGGAGGGGGACCCTTAGGGTGGGGGCACCCTCAGGGCACTATAGTGCCAGGAAAACGAGTTGTCCTTTAAAACGAGTGGTCCTTTAAGTCATCCAGCAGCTTATGCAGGGTGTTGCCTGCAGCTGGTAATTCTGTGGTCCTTGCGATCAAAGTCATATCACTCCTACCTGACTCGTTGCATTCTGACTCTGAGACAGGAAAGCATGCTTCCCCAGTGCCATCTTGGGCGCGCTTGCTCGGCCGAGATCTGTATCAAGGGGGTTTTGTGGGTTTTTTTCTGTGCCGACTTGCTTGTTATTGCCGTGGGAGATCTAAATGGAGTGGTGAGTATTACATTATCTTGTCGATTGTGTGGATTCAAGCCTTTATTTTGCCGCTACCGGCAGATC